GTGTGTGTGTGTGTGTGTGTGTGTGTGTGTGTGTGTGTGTGTGTGTGACTGGCCTTTGTGCTTACAGTTGTACACGATTTAAGGTGGAGGTGGTGGGGGCTTGTAAGGCTGAAGAAACTGGCAAGGGGCGATAATGGCAGCAAACTAAATCTCAGGCAAACAGCCCAGAACCATCTCTGTGCATCAAGCATCCTGCAGAGTGAGGTGTGTGTAGTCCCACAGAGGAGGCTAGAAATAAACAGAACTGAAAGGGTGTGAAGATGGCCCTAGCCCAGAATGTTGCTGCTGTTGGTCTGAGTTGGACTTAACAGTCATTAGGACATGAGAGATGATGTGCACACATGTAGCACAAATGTCATTAAGGAATTAGACTGGAAATTTTCTGTCCAGATTTGGTTCTGTGGCCTTCTGGATATACTGATGGAGGAGTAGGACAGAGGTAAGTGCTTGGGCCAGCTCTGTTACCCTTTGAAAAGGTAAGAGATAACCAAGAATGTTTTGCTGCTTTAGCTCTTGGGTTAATGGTAAAAAGAACAGCTCTTTCTTATCTTGACTCAGTAAAACCTTCATATCTTATCAAATGCCAGACTGTTGAGCCTACTGTCACATGTAGCTAAACAGAAGTAAAAAGCTAACTCCTCTTTGCTCAGCAGACTTGCTGTTCATTTAGTGGAAAGAGCTTGTTTTAAGGGTAGGACACTCCAGAATGAAAACCAGTAGCAAACAGCCATGGAATGGAGCTTGTGGGAGGATGGGGCCCTATTGGTTTTCAGACTAGGATTCATCTTTGACAGCTTAGTGAGAGACATGGCACCGTTTCCCTTTCCTCCACACTTGGTGTGCTCAGGAGGAACAGAGGGTAAGTACGAGTAAGAGTGTGCCCCTTCACCCCTAATGCTCATGGCCACATGGCACAGAATAAAGTACTGGAAAGGGGGAAAGTAGATGCAGACATCTGGGAGTGCTGCCCCGCAACTCTGCAGAGAAAATATGCACAGCCCAGCTCTTAATGGAATGTTCCTCAGTTCCTCATATATTAAGTTGTGCTTTTTAGGAAGGGACAAGCTCATGGTAACAGCCTCACGCACTCACTTGGGAGCCACCAGTTGAAGTTCCCATGGTGGACTGAAACGCTCCACCAACATGGCAGACACAGAATTTTTGCATCTCCTGTGATATTCTGTGGACATCCAGCAGACTACAGTTACCAGTGAGGCTGGAGGGAATGGGCATTTAGGCTGACGATCTTCTCAAATGACCTTACATCCATCCCTTGTACTAGTCTGGGTATGACAGCTGCTTGCTAGTGGCTGACGTGAACAGACAAGCAAGGACTAGGTATCACTAAGATCTTTGGAGAGACAGCGCCCTGCTGGTCTCCATGGCAGAAGAATGGCTATCTGCAAAGCAAAAGGCTTTGTGTAGGTCATTAAATGCAGTCACAATTGTATTTCTTAGATGTCCAGAAATATTTACCCCGCAGTCTTTTTCAATGGTGAACAAAAAAAAAAACAACTAAGAAAGTTTATGATAGGTACCATTGACGGTAAAATGTTTGGATGTTTGGTCAAACATAATGGCATGGATCGGTTTGGGGGGAAAGGTTGTTATTGAATTGTTTTTTTTAAGTCACTCAGCTACTAAATACACTAATCAGGATGTATTTCTCTTTCATAATAGACTATGCTGGTCTCAAGTAGACAGCTAGACTATACTTAGATAAGCAAGTATTTGAAATTGAGTAATTTTTTTAAAGTTTGAGGGAAAAATGAAAAGGCTCTTGCCCGCAGAAACAGGTTCTATGGCTCAAGTCCCCGCTGTTCTTTCCCACAATGTAGATGAGGATAAGCCAATGCATTTATTATTGCTGGTGATCGGCCTCAGTGTAATGTCACAGGAGGCCCTGAGGACCCACAGCTTTGTCAACATTAGAGAAAAGGAGTCAAGAGAAGCAAAATGCCAAATCACTGGCAGTCAGTCTTAGGAGACAGGCCACAGGTACTTGGCCAGTGGTGTCCACAACTAGGTTCCCTATGGCCACTGAACGGAAACTGGCTTGCTTGGAACCCACTCACTTCTCACCTCGGTCTTAGAACGAAGGGCAGAACAATGAAACCACACACTCCTTAGGCAAAATCCTGCTACCTGACCTGATTTTTAAACATTACTCAAACTATGCCTGAAACAAAATGCTTTTTGAAACAAATGAATGATAGAATAAAGTTGATATTAAATGATTATAAATTTAAAAATGAAGTGAATTATACTTAGTGGTTTCAACATGACCCCATGTTTAACATAGCACCACGATATGCTAGCATCAGAGTTGGTACCCATGGCCCTTCCTTCAGTCACAGCTCTGAATGTCTGCCGTTGCATAGGATGAAGAGGCCTTTGGGCAGTTTATCAGCTCCAGTGAAACTGCCTTTACTTAAATTTAGAAATACTTTCTAGTAACAAGTTGCTCACTAACAGACTCATGAGTTGCTCTAAGGGACCTCTTCCCAAGAATAAGAGCAGCAAGGACCATTGTGTCTTCACTGGCCCACAGAAGCACTGTACCTTTCTAACAGAGGGCCCCACTCCAAAGGATTCTGACCAAATGCAGCTCACACCAGTGGCATCAACTACCTCATGGAGATGAAAGTATCTTAAGATGCAAACAACGCTGCAGACAAGTAGTGAATTTGGAAGGTAGTTTCCACCATTCTCTACTGAGAGGAATTTGGCTAGTTGGATTAGATACATAGGGATCTGGAGGTTGTCTTCTGTCTGAGAAGTGAATATTACTTACGTGTCCTAGCTTTGAGCCTGACACAGCACAGAGCAGTCGGGATCAGCGCTGGAAATCACAAGCTCACTCATCGAACACAAGTGTTTCTAGATGTGGGTGGATTCTAAGTTTTCTGATGCAAATGTTTTGATTTCTAGCAGGCCTTTGGCGGATACTGTGGAGAAAACCATGTGAGTCCCTCTGAGAAGATGTGAATTGAACCTGTGTTACCAAAGCAGTTACCTGGGAAGGGTGTGTACATGTCGGTGTTCATTTCATGGTTAAAAGAAAAAAAAAAAAAACCAATAGACAGGAGGTAAAGCAGAGCTTCACAACAAATTCAAAGGCAGGGATGGGCCAGACAGTATTTTAAGATATCTTTAAATATAAATTGAGCCCCGGAGGCCGAAAAGTCATTTACCCAACACTGGCACAATTCAAACAGAATTAAGACTTGTAGATCAAAACTCTAGTAACAAAAAGGGGCACTTTCAAATTGCATCTAAGATAAGAACATATTAAACAGAATTCCCCCCCCCTTTGAAGTGAATTTAGGATTGGCATAATTTTTGATACCAAAAGTTTGAATAACAAATACAAAATGCAGGAGTGGCTAGTTGGAATCCCCCGCCCCCAAAACGAGCAGAACTCCCTCCCCTAACATCTTATGCAAGGGATGCAGGTAACAGAGTCAAATAAAAAATGGTTCCTGAATTTAAAGGTAGGATGCCCACTTCTTTCTCTCAAGAGGCAGATGGTCAGCTGAAAAATAAAAACACCGTATCAATAGGACGTTACGGAGGGAAAACTGCAGCCACCTCTGTGCATGCAATACCATTGTTTTTGTTTTAAATCCCACACCAGAACAACCCACAAAACCAACAGAAGCGGCAGGCTGCCCCGCTCTGATGACCTGCTGGTAGCTGAGGATCCTGATGGGTTGGTGAGAGTTGCCCAGAGGACAGAGACCGGGAGTACCATGTGCTATGTTTGCCCCACAGATGATGACACCATCAAGTGATAAACAGGCTCTCTTCAGTGCGTAAGGTCTTAGATTAGGAGGTTCAAGAAAATGGCAGCTAAGCCAGAGGATTCCAGCCCCAAAATCCTGGGGTTTGGGCCTAAGTTTTCTATTCCACTCTTAATTAATATTATCATTACTATTTTTGGTAGTTGAAGTCACTTCGGTAGCCACTGAGGGTGGTGGTTTGTAAACAGACATTGACAGTTACAAACAGCAGTGCAATGTTTGACCCAGACTTTAAAGAACGGGAGACGATGGTGGAGATGAGGTAACTCTTCCCCAACTCGAGTGGACAGACAGCTCCCGCTCTTCTAATGCTGTCCATAAAGAGAGAGTAGGGCTTGGCAACGGGATGGCTACATAAAGAAGAAGCTACAGAAGAGAAAAAAGAAAGGTTCAGATTCAAATTGATTCTTAAAGCCAAAAAAAAAAAAAAAAGCACTTCTCTACAACCAGCGGTGTCAGTTAAAGGGCCAGTGTCATCAAGCATGGTTTGGGGAAGAGTAGGTGGAGTAGCAATATGGACACTCAGGGCAAGGGAGGGGAGGATGCCTCTGCTGGACACTGAGGGTCATTGATGTACTGGGCAGGCAGGGACAGGAGAGCAAGTGTCGTGGCGAGAAATATGTGAGCCCCAGGATGCCACAGGGCAAGTGTCTTGGAGAAGCTGGGCCAACCAGCAACACTGAAGTCCACCACACAAGGTAAGAAAGTAGGAGACAGCGGTCATCCCCATTCCTTTATGTGATGTAACAAGCACGTGTGTGTACATAGGCATGTCAGGCAGGGACTGGAAAGAACTCACAAACGGGCACACAGAACAACGGTTGGGTAAAAATATATTTCCCCGCTTTAAGTCTTGGCACTAGTGATATATGCATAGGTCACATAGCACCATACTACGTTACCAGACACAAGTTACTCGGCAGGTTGCTGAGCCAGCACTTTCATACTTGTAGGAACAATATGCTTCACATCAATACAGTTATTTTAGTTCATAAAAAAAGACAAGTGTCTACATGCAGCTTACATACATGACAATCTGCATTAACACTGAAAGATTACACAACAGTTTAGAAAACATTGGTTATCTTCAAACAGCAAAAAAATGACAATTCTACAGCTACAGTTTAAGGCATTATCAGCATATTTTAAAATCAAGAAATAGACAAAGTTCTAATGCTGTTCACAGCTTAATTTTCAATTTATTTTTTAAAATTCCCTTCATACCTACATACAAACTAGACTCTGTAGGTCATGATTCAGCTAACAACTCCATAATAAATGTCCTGTCAATAGAACTAGGACTTTTGGAACCTGACAACTCCAGACACTTGTGAATGGCAAAGCCAAGGAATTCAGATGGACAGTTCTGGTAGGACCACACAGAGACAGTACGATGTGGGTAGGGGACGCCTGAACACCAACTCTGCAGAACACTTAGGGGTGTGTCAGGAAAGTGAGACAGCCAAGTCTATCCATTAGAGGCACACAGGATGGAGAGGAAGCAAGAGCTGCTGCTGGTGAGTTACAAAGTAAAGGAGGAGGGAAACAAGAAATCCACATCTGACACCAGGTGGAAGAGCTCCCCTGGCTGACAGAGACCCTTTTGGACCGATTCATACAGAGCCCAAGCTGGGAAAACAGTCCTGAACTGCTACCGAGTACTTGCTGACATACCTCACAGCATGGATGACAGTTAGAGGGGACCACAGTCGAGAAGGAGCAGAAGATGCTCATTGTGCTTGGGCAAAAGATGCAGAGAGGCCAAAGCTATCCAACCAAAAAATAAAAAAAGTGGCCATTGTGCTTTGAGCATAAAGGAGAGGCCATTAGACTGAGGTCTGGAACGCTGGGAGCAGAAAGGCAGTCTGGCAGAGACATCATTTTCAGGATTTTTGTCCCGTGGACAGTGGGAATCTTTCTCCAGCGTTTTGCCACTGTCACAATCCAAGGTCCTCTACCTGACCTCCAGGACACAACAATGGCTGCAATCAGTAACCAATCCCTACTTCCTCTGAGAGCAAGAGGAAGCATAAATTGTGGGGCAAAGTATAAATGTGGCCAGTATAGATGTATTTAGCTTTTAAAAGAAAAAAAAAAGACTACTCAGACTGTCCAGGACACCTTCTAAAAGAAAACCTCTGCCCCCGTTTGTTTTCCCTAATCTGAAACAGAGAGATCCGAGTTCTTACTCCTGTACTTACATGCAAAGGCGAGAGCACGTCCAGTTAGATTTGAGAGTATCGTTTATTCCGTGCAGAGCCAGGGACTACTGTGAAGAAAGGTATAGATACGAAAGAAAAGAGCAGCAATAACCAGCTCCGGAGGCTTCGGAGCAGGGGAGGAAAGAGCTCAGAAGCAATGCTTTTCTCTTTAAAGCTTCTTTAAGATTCTCTTGACTTTTTATTCCCTGACTCCCCATTGGACTTACTTTACTGAGAAAAATAAAAAATAAATGCAAAAAAAAATTCAATAATTTTGGCATCAAAAAAGTCAAATTGTTATTTGGGTTTTTGTTTTTGTTTTTCTGAGTGTCTTTAAAAGCTTTTAGAGATGCGAGAAATCAAATGCAAAGGGGTGTTTTCTGTTACAAGGCACACACACACACACAAAAAAGAAAAACCAAAAGCTCACATAAGCAGTGGCTGGAACAAGCAGACGACACCAATGCTCAAGTCTTTGTGTGGTGCCCGGTGAAGAAGCAAACACAGCCACAGTTAGTCAGCATGCCATTAGTACCTGCTGTTCCAAAGCTAACTAGAAAAATGGAAGCAAAGTGAGTGTCTGTGGGGGAGCTCCTCCCTCCACCAGCAAGGATGGCCGAGGCTGCTCTCCACCCTGGTCTACACCCCAGTGAGGCCAATGTCCTTATTTGTCTAATGAAGCCTAATTCAGTTTATGGAAGGCCACTGCTCTCTTCTTATGATGGGGAGATGAAGTAAAAGATAACAAAAACTCGCCTGGTATTGGATAGGGGCTGGCTGGACAATGTTTTTTTAAGTGTGTGTGACAGAGAGGAATGCAGCCTGCGTTATACCATTCACATGTAACTGGTGACGTGAGAGGGAAATGCAGAGGCGACGGCCTGGGTTCATGAGAAATGAGAAGGAAGAACCAAGATCTGGTTAGAAGGGGGTGGTCAAGTGGGTGACAGGAGAAGCGTCAGAGAAAAGAGTACAGGACAGACAGACAATGCGCATTCCCCATTCTTACACAGCTGGCAAGCAGGACATGTCCTGGCTCCTGAGTTAATCCTCATCCAGGGTGAGGTGAGATAACTGACAGACCCAAGAGTCAGAGCGGGTGGAACTGGTCACAGTGAGGGGACAGGAAGGAAAATTCCTTAGAGGCAACTGAGTTTCAATGTCAGCAAGGAACTGGACCAGAGGCAGTCTGAGTCTAACTCTGCTTTAAGTAATGGTTCCACTGTCCGTTCACTCCCCTGCTACCTTCAACTGAGTACATCCTTTCAGACTACTACTATGGGTAGTAAGTTTTCTCATGGTGACTCATGAAAACTGCTTTTAGAAGTAGCCACATCCTAGAATCAGCTTCCAGGTCTCCCCTCAGCCTGCTTAAAGCAAATGCTTTAATATGTGTGTGTGTGTGTGTGTGTGTGTGTGTGTGTGTGTGTGTGTGTGTAGGGGCTGGAGGGAAGGGATGGATGGCATCCCCTCACTGTAAGTGGGAATCCAACCTCCTTAATAGAAGATTCTTTAGCTAAGCAATACCAGATGAGGTGTTCTTTGAGATCTGGACCCCTGAGATCATCAGGGGATGCCCTGGTTGGGGGGAATGTAATCAGGTTTCTTATGCCAGTCCGTAGCTTTGGCCCGGCTTTGAAGGTAGGCAGGCAGATGCGGACTCCATCCCTAAGATGGTCTAACCAGATCATAGGCTCAAGCCAAATAAGCAAACGATTAAATGAAAAAGCCACACTAGGGGAAAAGTTCTCGGATGCTCACTTCCGTTTCTGCCTGCTTTCAAGCCCACCTCTGGTCTGGGGCAAGCATGGAGAAGAGACAGTGAATTCAGGAGCTATACAACCATGAGACACAGAATTAAGAAAATGCAAGTTGGTGTCATGGCTACTCAGGGTTTTAGCTCAGCTGCTGAGGCGGTGAGTTTTCCCACCAGACGTACAGGTAGTTATTTTACCCCTCTTTTCCTTGGTCCAAAGCAACATACAAAGGACAGACATGCTTCCTGCCGCCACTTGGAATAGGCATACAAGGCAAATTGACTTTCCAGAACCAAAGTCCAGCTGCACGCGCATTTGCTGATATCATCCCCTTGTGCTATGATTTTCCACCACCTGACAACATTCAGTAAAATAAGCTAAGTTACTGGTATTTGGGAAAAGGCTGAAACAACGAATCAAACAGGACACAGATGACAGAGTATGCTACTACTGCCAAAGCAGGTGAATGCGGGAGCGTCCTTGGCTTGCCAGGCCCTTATGCGAAGCTTGCACTGCAAGTTAAAAAAAAAACAAAACAAAAAAAGTTAGAAATGATAACAAATTAAATGAAAAGAAAACCAGGAGCGCCAGCACCAGCATTCAGTGGTGGCGAATGCTCATGCAGTGATTATGGGACTGAGAGAAATTAAAAGAAAAACCCAAGTAGTCTACAGGAAAAGCAAAGCGAACCTTGAGCCCTGAATAGAGTGCATGTGGCTCAGTTTCCTTTTGAGTAGAATTTATATTCATGAGTGACCTTGAAACCAAGGCACGGTCCAGTGGAAAGATCCACTGTCTGATTTGTTCTTTCAAATAACATGAAACTATCGTCTGTAAGGAGTGGAGAGTACGCTGGAACTGAACAGAAACGTCATCTTCCACTTCCGGGCCGTGGGAGGAGGAGTCAGAGAATAAATATATAATGGGTATCTTGGTGCGGATGACTTGGAGAAGAAAGCTAAAGTAGCTTGCAAACTGGAATCTACTGGATGGACGACATGCTACTGGTCTAGCTGGGAAGGGCTGAAAAAGACCATGGTTAGAGCTACACCACAGGAGCCTTCCCCTCTTAGCACCAAAGCAACACCAAACCTGGGATCTGCACAGCTGCTTTTAGGCAACTCCAAAACATGCAACTTTATTGCTTAGCAAAACCAAACCAACAACAAAAAATATTTAGAAAAAAAACAAACAGGTGAGCAGCTGGTTGTATAAAGTGAACACTCATCACATGCCAGTTTAGGACGATGGCACTAAAAGTCTTCTTTGGGGTCAAACGTGCCCCAGCAAATGCCTCCTGGCGACCATGTAAATTGTTTACAGGAGAGGGAGGGACACTGTCCACTAGAAAACTTGTTCTCAGGCAGTCCTACCACAGCAGGGCAGCCCTGGATGAGGGAGGTGGCTTGGTGGCCAGAGATGGCAGAAGGTGGGGTCCAGCTAATGGCAGTGCCAGGGTTAGTTCAACTTTGTAATCTTAGGAAATGTTATATACTCTCATGCCACTTACAGGTCCAGGGGAGATATAAAGCCTTACCTATGTTAAAAAAAAAAAAAAGGAGTGCAGTGCGTTGTTAGAAAAAAAAAAAGTTTAAAACTATTAGAAAGTGGATTAGGGCCGGCCAAGGGGTGCACAGCGAATGGAAGACCATCCCTCAGAAGCTCCTGGTAAGCACAGCCAGCTCCTAAAGAGGCATGGGGAACACTTGCACTGCAGCTATGACCCGGAGGAAGAACCGTCCCCTTTCTTGGTTGCCCTGGTTACTGTCTTTCTGTGGTCCTCTGGCCAAAACCTTCCATGGCCACTGATAATAAGAGGGGAGACTTTTTTTTTCTTTTTTGAGTTTTTTTTTTTAAACAATTCAGACCTCCAAATAGCCCTTGCTTTCATTATACAAGCGGAAGAATGGAAAAGTAAGAACCAACTGACACAAAAAATACTGTCAGTCTCTGAGCCTGGTGATTACTGTGAACCAAGTCTACTACCATCAACAATAAATGAGAGTATATAAATAAAGCTAAAACAGATTTTAACACAGACGTCATGTAAACTTTAAAAGTATTATACACTGGTAAAGCCTAGGATGAGAAGAAAATAGGGTAGCTTGTTCTAGAGCAAAGGATGTCCGTTACCAAACGGAGGCTTCTGACGGAGGGACAGTGATCAGTTCTTGGAATTTTATTGCTAAAAGGCACATCCAGTATACATGAAAAAAAATTTTTTTAAACACTGCTGGTCTTTTATAAACATTTTTAGTTTAAAACTTGTACCTCTACCCACTTTAGTGCTTCAGGGTGAGAAAGCCTACCCTTTAGCCTTCCTAAGCAGCGCTCTCTCTCTCTCTCTCTCTCTCTCCCTCTCTCTCTCTCTCTCTCTCACACACACACACACACACACACACACAAACACACACAAACAAACACATACACATACACACTTCTGTGCTTTTTCCCAGAATAGAGATATCCATCAGGGTTCAATGCCAAATGGCTTTGACTCTGGCTGGCCATGTGGGGACACCATTCTCAGTATTAGCTTTTCCAAAACACAGAACAATGAAGAACCGTATTGAACTATATCACCGAGGCAGTTGTTCCTCGTAGAACTCACTCCCTCAGTCTGGGCGGCTGGACTCCCTTAACGACCTGGATTTACACCGACCCCATCAAAGCCATGTGTTATCTATGTAGACTGTTTCTGTTATTGCTTAGACCAGTTTCCTGCCCCTTTGTTCTCTGGACACATTTCCTACTGCCTCAGAGCTTACAAAAGTAATGTGTGTAGAGCATGCTTTACTTGTCTTTCAATGTCACCACAGTGGTGCAAAGCTATGGGCATGCCACAGTGCCTTAGGGGCACGTCCAATGCATGTGAGATTAAGTGACCACAGCACTGGGCTGGCTTGCCAGCTCTTAGTCGGGATTGGGTAGACTCCTTGCTTGCCTCGGTCCCTCCATTTCTGCTGTTACTTAGCTGCCAGCTCCCCCTCCCTTCCCCCATCCCAATATCTTAGCCTCCAAGGACGAAGAACAAGAATCCTAAAGAGGGCTCCAGGCTTCCCATAGAGCTACACTAGCTCAGCAGGCTCTAGAGAGGAGGGTGGCATCCCCAGGCATCCTATGGTCATGGGATCATGGAAGAGTTTTCCAAGGGCTTCCTTAGCACTGTACTCATGAAACCCACCACTACTGTCACAACACTGCCTCCTCTGCTCTTTAAGGTGACTCAATGAACAGCTCCAAACCACAGGAGTTCATGGAAAGGGCCTTCCCCGCTAGTTCTGACAGCTGCTGCTGGGGTGCCACAGGAAGTGACAACCTAAGAGAGCATCTAGCCCTTTGGCACTCAAAACCAAGTATGGCAACTGTTCTGTGTTGGGTGCAGGGGTGTCATGAGGGTCGCCAGGACTGTGCTAAATGGGCGGGCATTTTGGTTGCACTCCACAATACCATAATCCTCCAGGAAAACCAGCACCCACTAGCTGCTGTTTGGAATATAAAATTCAGTAGCTGGCTCGCCAGACTGTCTTAACTGAACAGACAGCCCATGTGAAAAACTGTGATTTTAAAATGCTTTTCCCAAGAGTCTCGAGAAAGCCTGCGGAGGCTCTATGAGAACCCGCCTGCCTTCTCTGCGTCTCCTAGTATTGCTACAGAAGCCTCTACTGAAGCTCACAGGCCACCGCTATCCTGATTGCTTGGTCACCATAGTGACGTTTATAAGTTAACCCTTTGTACCCTTTAAAAAATTCTTCTAAAACTTCAGTCGTCTTCCCTGCACTGTAGAGAAAAATACTTGCTTCTATTTTTCTGGCGACGACCAGTTTCCAGTCTGTAAGTAGGAAAGGTAGACATGCAAGAGGAAGAGATTGTTAGCTGTCCCCAGGAGGCGGGCAACACCTGCTTACTTTTTCTTATCCTTGTCCTTCTTGGTTTGCTGGGCCCCGGACTGCTGGGCCTGGGACTGCAAGAGCTGAGCGGCCGCCTTCTTTTTCTGGAAGTTACTCACTTCCTCCTCAAGCTCCTTCTTCTTGTCTTCCACCTTTTTCTTCTCCTCTTGGTGAGTCCGCTTCAGGAGGTCAAACTTCTCATGAAGCTGGGAGGAACAAAGGAAATTAGGCATGGCGGAAGGAATAAAAATCTGTGTGAGCCCATGAAGGATCAGAACATGCAGCCCACGGCTGCTCTTGCTTTGTTGTGGTTTGAACAGCAATGGCACCCACACATTCATGTATTTGAGTTCTTAGTAATTAGGAGTCATCATGGCACTATGTGAAAAGACTAGGAGGTGTGGCCTTGTTGAAGGAAGTGTGTCACTTGGGACAGCTTCCAGGCCCTGCGTCCCTCTCTTCCTGCTGCCTGAAGATCTGCAGGCAGAAGTCTCAGCTCCGTCACCAGCACCACGTCTGCCTGCCTGCTGCCATGCTCCCCTCCATGGTGAGGAAGCTGCTCTCGTGATAACAGGGAAGGGGAACCACTCTGTACCACTGTGAAGCCTCATTAACCACAATGTGCTGATAAAACACCAGTTTCCCCTCCTGGAGGACAGATAGCTCACCTCTTTCTCTGCCTCCTTGAGCTCCGCCTCTTTCTCCTTCACCCTCATGACGAACATCTGTCTCATCTCCTCCTCTTTCTTCTGCAGCTCTCCCAGGAACTCGTTCCTTTTTGCTTCATATGTCTCCTGAAGACTATTAAAAGTCCACAAAGCAAGACAGGGCATAAGACAGCATCATACATTGCAGTTCGAGCCATTCCCCCCTCTCTGCTTCCAAAAGAAAAAGCACAAGTGCTGCTTACCACACTAAAGCTCAAATTTTATTCTTTAGTTTTATTCTTTATTTATGCCAAGATTGCAGAGACAAGCATGTCCAAAAGCATAACACAACACCAAAGGCCTGCAGCTAACCAGCCAGGTTTCTTGCACAAACAGACCAGCCGGGCATCATGGGTGAAGTGACAGGGTTTGGAGTCAGATAGAGCTGTAATTCTGGCCTCAGCAACTGACTGACCTTGTAGGCACAGCTCTCCAGTGCCCTGCACAGGCCTTCAGGCACAGTAACACTTACCTCCACAGGGTAAGACTGTGCAATTGTGTCAGGCATTACTTGAGAAAAGTATCTGCCATACAGCAGTGTTCACTCATATCCCTCTACCCTCCAGAGGGCAAGCGGACTTAGCAAGAAGACCACCTTCCAAAGCCGGGGTAGGAAATTGCCACGGCTCAAGCCAGTTTCAAGTGGTGTGGGGAGGAGTCTTATTTTCATTTTGAATCCTGTACTCTTCCTTTCTGCAGAAATCAGAGCCTGAAGTTTCATATTGAATGTCATACTCAACTGTATCTCTCAAGTCAGAACAAAGGCATTTATACAGAGAAGGCCTTTGGTGACACAAAGGACACACACCTTATGTGCTACAAAGAAGCAATGGCTGGTGTTTTATGAGTACTCCGTCCTCTCTTTCCAGTTTATCTACAACAGCTGAATGGTACCAGCTACACTAGAGTCTACTTGGAACTCACCAAATTTTCCCTAAGTGCACACTATACAGACTAGGTAGCAACTACGGATACTCCCAGGCACCCTCAAGTGCCACTCAACAGAATTCACACCTGTCCACTAAGGTGGTAAAAGGGGGAAAACCCAGTGGGTAAAACCTCTGGTGGTGGAACACAGCAAGGACTGACTGATACAGTCATAATGAACAGTACAGCTAGGCCAGGAAGATCACACCTCTATAACTGATAACCTCATTAGCTCACAAAAAATAAGTTCTTCCTCCCCAGACACAGCCAACCCTCTCTGCTGATAACCAGTCATGTGTTTTGAGTTTCAGGTGTTATTTTTACTTTATGAGACAAAAATAAGTTGGACATGTCAATATTAGTTAATATTAATAGCAATGTTTAAATTTCAATTTTAAGAGCTAGAGTCAGTGAGACCTAGAAGAATATCAACCTTTGAAGTAACTTCATCAGTGTGTGATAACCTCTTTATCAGCTTTCTCTGTGAATCAGACTTACCCAAGGCAAAGGATAACCTGGTCCTATTACAAAATCTTACAGAAAACTCAATTTCTACTTAGTGTAATGAATGACTGGACCTCTCCCTTCAAGCAGTGGAACCTTATAACCTATGACAACACCCAACTTGTGTTCTGAGACCATGACCTGGTTTCAGGAGAACATCTTCAAAGGTTGTGGAGTCAGAACGGCAGGAATGCATAGCATGCTCCTCCATCAGGGGACTCGTCATATACAGTGGCCCCGCCCTGGCAGCACACCTGGGCCACGTGGGCATAGCTTAGTGGACTTTTCTAAGTCCAGATGCCCAACTAGCTCCATTCCTGGGGATGCTGATCCTGAACATCTGGTTACAGCTAAACAGTCTGCCTTGGAATGTCTTCCAGGTGATGACCTGCAACCCGTTTGCCGACCATTGTCTTCAGTGAAAAGAACTATCCATCTGGATTCTGGGAGTGGCTCCTACAGGGTGCCTGGGAGTATCCATAGCTGCTCTCTATTACCTTAGAGCACCTCAGAGCTGGCTGGACGAGCGCTCTGTGAAGTAAGTCAGACAGAGCTTCAGGTGCTGAGAACCTTCAGATTGCCTCTGCCACATCCCATCTTCCCCCAAACACAGCTTTACACACACTTTAGTTTCTGAACTATTTTTTAAAGTGTGTATCGTGAGCTAATAGTGGGGGTTTGGGTTTTGATTGTTTTTGTTTTTTAAGACAGAGTTTCTCATCTACGCCCTGGCTATCCTGAAACTCACTCTGTAGACAAGAGGAGTCAGTACTCTGCCTAAACTGAGGACACTCGATCACACTGTAAGGTGTTTCTATATGCAGAAAGTTCAATCCAAACTTGGAATGCCTGTGTCCTAAGGGCCACACTGGCTGTAGGCAAGACTGGCCCCAGCCTTGAGTCTAGTCAATGTTGATATCCAGGAGTAAAGGATGAAGTCGGCTTCAGCACACAATGCTCAGTTGTATCGCTGTGTCCGAGGGTAGGAAATCAGCTTCTAAACTCTTAACACAGGAAACAATGGTCATAGCAACTGCTGAGACCAGTGTCTAAAGCCTTAACCTAAAGACTCAAAACCACTTACAAGTGACTTACGAGTAACTTAGAATAACACAGGAACACATTCCCCACACACCTCTGCCAACTGAGCCATGGACCACAAACACCAGAAACCCCCACTCATGTCTCCAGGCACAGACACGACCCAGCTCAGAGGAAACCGCTTTCACTCACTCACAGGCACCACTGTAAAGGCGTCACTGACAGTTTCCAGCTTAGGTTTAAACTGCAGCCACTGACTCCCTTAGCTCAGTGAGATTTTGTGATCACTTCACCAGGTTTTCAGCTGATCTGATGATGATCGAATTTTCCTTTTGGCAACTCACGGAAGGTTTCCTTTGTTGGTAAGGGAGAGGACTGCAGATGCCCGAGCTCACCCTGAATCTTAGTGGTTCAGACAGAATAATTTTCTCCCTACTTAACTCTCCTGGAATCATGTGACAGAGGGCATGCCAGGGTCTGATCACTGTCACCAGAATTTAGGAAGCACTCTATATCTGTGAATGCATTTGTCCTCATAAGGCAATAGAGTAGACATTGCCTACTCCTCATCTTACAGGTGGAGGAATGTGGACATAGCTGTCGCCATTTGCTTTGGTTGTACCATTAAGACGTTAAGGATTGAACCTGGGCCACCCACTGACACGGGAGCCCTACCCACTTTCCACATAGCTAGTGAGCCAAGGCCTGTATACTCCTAAAAACAGGCCCGAGGACTTTCTGAATCCTGAGAGAAGGGTAGTCCTCAAACAGTTTCTGTGAGTAAGAGAGAAGATGCTGGGGGCTGGAGATAGCTCAGCAATTAAGAGCACTACTACTCTTCCAGAGGTCCCGAGTTCAATTCCCAGCACCCATATGGTGGCTCACAACCATCTGACACCCTCTTCTGGTGTGTCTGAAGACAGCTACAGTGTACTCATCATATAAATTAAATAAATAAATAAATAATCTTTAAAAAGAGAGCGAGAGATGCTATTTGGAGAGGAGGGGTGAACAATTTGGACAGGGAGAATGTCAGGGAGTGTCTCAGGAGAAAAGCTCAGGGACACGTGACTAATGCCTATGGTGACCTTGGTCTGTTTCCTAAGGGTTTGGAAACAGAGACCTTGAACCAGGAAAGAAATGAGTGCTCTGGCTGGTGGAACTGAGTTCCAAGGCTACAGAGCCACATGCACAGAGAGGCAAACGGAAAAGGTGGGCACTGGGAAGGCTGCCTAGTGGTCAGGTATCTGGGTACTCTTCTAGAGGACAAGAAAGGCAGGTGTCTGAATCCAGATGAGGACAACATCAGGGCCACAGGCAAGCTCCTCAAATACTGCCCAGTACCATACCGCACAGCCTACTCTCTGCTATCACACACTGGCTCACACTACTAGAATCCGTGGTCCAGTATGCAAGCATTGGAAGGTCCCAGCATGCTCAAAAGAAAGAACTAGCTTCGTTGCACAGCGTCACAGGAAACCTCCGCTTGAAACATTTGAAAAAAACACTTCCAGCCTTTCACTTATTCCTCTCCAAGTCACACTCAATTCACCTGGGGAAGGGAATTCTCATGTACACCCAGGAGTATTTTCATCCTGAGTGATCTGAGCTCAGTATAAAGACTAGTAGTAAGTTATGCTTATGTCTAAGATCTGAACTTCAATAAAATAATGATTTGCTGTGAAGGAAAGCCCACTGAATTACTAGCAGAGGGCAGCACAAAAGCTCTGGTTCTCTTGTAGATCTGTTTCTAAGAAGCATCTCATTTACCTGAATGAGAAGGTCTGACCCAGGGGTGCACACCTTTAATCCCAGTCCTGGGAAGGCAGAGAAGGGTGGATCTCTGTGAGCTCCAACTCAGCCTGGTCTATATTCCAAGTCACAGGCCAGTCAGGATTAAACCATGAGAGCCCCTGTTTAGAGAATAAAGCTGAGAAGACCCAGGTGTGAAGGACTCCGACTCTGAGGCCAGTCAGTCACTGGGCACTCTTTCTGCTCGCTGTGTCCAGTGAAGAATTGAAATACAGTGAAAACAACAAATGTTGACATTTGAAGAAAGGGAAAAGCAGAACACCCACCCAGGAACGGTGCTGTCAAAGAGCCACTATGGCTTCTTCTGTCTCTGGTGATCCTTCCCGCAGCAAGAGGGACTTCTAAGTGGGGATGCACAAGGAGGGACCATCTCTATTTTAAGTGGAAAACCTATCCCAGTTATTGAGGTGATAGAATGTATTCATTTACTTATTTTTGTTTTTCTAGATAGGGTTTCTCTGTAGAACATCCCTGGCTATCCTGGAGCTTGATCAGTAGACCAAGCTGGCCTTGAACTCACAGAGATCCACCTATCTCTGCCTTCTGAGTGCTAGGATAAAAAATATGCACCACCACTACCCAGCCATCAGTTTACTTTTAAAAGCTTTATTTTTAACTATTTTTTAAAAATACAGGCCTGAGTAATAATGTATAGGTATAAACATTTTCCCATTTCAACATCAAAAAAAAAAAAAAAAAATTAGGGCCTGTAGAAATGGGACCAAATGGATGGGGCAGACACAATCATGACTTCAGTGTCATCTGCCAGTTCAGAAGGCCAGAGACGATGTGCCCCAAGCAGTAAGCTGATCGAAGCCCTAGTGGACTGTGCACCTCCTCCAGGGCCTTACCCTGGGCTTGTAGGAGTTGCCTCAATAAAATCGGCAGCAAGTGTCATCAGAGGCCTGCTTGCTTGCACCAGCAGGAAGGAACCCTGGCTGTCTTGGAAGGGCTGGCCTCTTTGATGAAAGGCAGACAGGCCACATAGCCCTTCTTAGGTACGAGTAGCATCCCAGAGCTTCTTTTAAGAACACAGGTATGTGGAATGGTTTTTAACACAATGAGAAGAAATTACCTCTAACAAGGAATCCAGACTGTGACCTCGTCAAAGGTTTGTAGATTACAGCCCACCAAACAAATTCAGGCTTTTTGGTTGCTAAGGTTTTTATTGGCTAGAACACAGATATGCCTGTTCATTTATATTATGGTCTAAGCTGCTTTCCAATGAGGCGAGGAGAACTGAATAGCTGTGAGTCTATGCAGTCAATATATTGGAACCACTAAAGAAAGTCCCTTTGCTAAGTCAAATTTGTTCCCTGATCTTACCCCGAGGGGTTAAGGACATGAGCAGGGGCAGTCAGGACCTCAGGCTCCTCAGCCAGGGTTCCTCAACACTGGTCCTGGCCAGTGCATTTGACGTCACAAAAGTTTTGTTGTTCCACTTTAGGGCATGGAAAGAAATGCTGTATACAAAACCACATTTTTATCAGACTTAATAACCCTAGAATGGGCTTACTTTATGGGGTTATCATCTGGGAAATTCATTGCAAGCACAGAAGGACTTGCTACACCTTCACAAAGCCATCCTATCTGGTTGAAGATAGTTCACAAGCTTTCAGGACTGGATGAAATGATACTAAGTTGGTTAGAAGTTAACTTTTTGGATAGAAGTCCTTTGTGTGAGATGTGCATTTGTTCTCACCAAACACAGACAGGCTTACGGGAGTGCACAGCTGCATCCTGTGTGGTACTAGCCCAGAAAGTACTGAACTTTCTCCAAAGTGATTCCAAGAGAAAACTCCTCTACCAAAGGGCCGTTCAGACCCAGGAAAAGACTGCTTCACTGAGCACTGACAGACAGCCTCAGGTTCTTTGGCCAGCCATCAAGTTCAATGGCTTGGAGATTTCAGAGTGTGTCCTAGGGATAGCCATAAAAGATGGAAAACAGGTTGTTCAATGGTACTGTGGCTTTAATAAGAAGAGGCTCAGAGTCCAGACAAACCTCACATTGGCTTAACTGAGATCCCTATGAAGAAAAGGCTTAGGCTCAAACTGGACAATCCCTTCCTCTACCAGGAGGTGGCAACTTGGCCGTGAGCCTCACCTTCAACAGTGACTCAGCTAGCCTTCCATTCAACCCAGACTGTCTCTACCATGGGGGAAGGGGGAGGTATGGTGAAAGGAGGGCAATTGCTAGGGTGCTAAGCCTACATTTTTTTTCCCTCCACATTAATTAATTTATCTATTTATTTTACATTTTACATCCTGATCGATGCCCCAACAGCCTGGTCCCTGGCCCTGAGCCTACCTTCTTTTAAAGTGAGTTTTGTTTTTTGTTTTTTTAAAGATTTCTTTATTTATTTTATGCATATGAGTACACTGCAGCTGTCTTCAGACACCAGAAGAGGGCATCAGATCCCACTACAGATGGTTATGAGCCACCATGTGGTTGCTGGGAATTGAACTCAGGACCTCTGGAAGAGCAGTCAGTGCTCCTAACCAATGACCCATCTCCCCAGTCCTTCCCCCTTTTTAAAGCTTTATAAAATTTATTTTTATGTGTAGGGGTGTTTTACCTGAACACATGTCTGTGTACCATATGTGTGCCTGGTGACCAAAGAGGCCAGAAGAGAGTGTCATATCCCGTGGAACTGAAGCTGCAGGTGACCTTGAGCCACCATGTGGGTGCTGGGAATCAAACCAGGTCCTCTGGAAGAGCAGCCAGTGCTCCACACCACTGGAGTGGTCTCTCCAGCCACAATTACCTTTTCTTCCTTGCACATTCTGCATATCCATCCATGATGTGGGAAATAACAAATTTCCTAAGCTTTTTCCTTTCCCACCCTCTGTGAGAGTTGTACACCGGTGAGATAACAAGAGAACCTGAGGGCTGGGGACTCAGCTCCATGGTTATGCTGCTAGCTGCTCTTCCATAGGACCCGTCTGGTTCCCAACACAATCAGCAGTTGGCACACCTGTAATCCCAGCACCGGGGATCTGACACCCTCTTCTGGCCTCTGTGGGCAGACACTTTCGCAATGTCACACACACACACATACACACACACAAACACGAACACACACAAGCACGGACACACATACCCTCACATGCTTTATAAAGAAAAAGTACTTGAAAAGCTAAGAGCCTCAGGAAGTTAAATCTGTCAAAGACAAATGAATGGGGGGGGGGCAAATGTTAGCCAGCTACATCTTGTGAGTCAGGCGCTACACCCCACAGACATAATTAGGAGCTCAGGGTCAGCGGCCAAGGAGGCAAGGATTCAGAACAACCTCCTTTCCTTAAGTACCAGGAAGCCAGGCAGGCTGTTGACACTTTTGTCACTTTGAATGCTAATCCTTGTAAATGTGGGCAGAAATACCAACATCCACAACATCACCCAGCTGAGATGATAGTGAAATGTGGTTATCCCAACACCAGATGAGTCACCGACCCCCCTCACCAAGCTACTGAGGTACCAAAGCTCCAGCAATTCCTTCCATGGTGCACAGACACAGCACTGCCGGAGCCGCCTGTCTGCTGTGTGCGCTCATACCTGAAGGGCTTGCTGTCAGGGTCGGTGTCCTTGAAGCCCATCTCCTCAAGCTTACAGCGCCGATACAGCTCATAGTGGCGCGTGTGCGTCTGCTCTCGAAGGTCCTCCATGTTCACTCGGATCAGCATCTCCCTCAGCTTCACAAAGTCACAGTGGTTCTCGTTCTCCACTACAGGAAAAACAAGCACAGGAGAGGAAGGCCATCAGCAGTGACGGAGTCACTGAGAAGCAAGGAAGGGCGGGGGCCCCCCCCCCCCCAAGGCATACAGGATGTCTTGCTGGCTCCTCCCTCCATATTCAAGGAAGCCCTGACGAGGGTAGCAGAAAGATGGTGCCAAGGGAGGGGCTTTACAATCTTTCCTTTACCCTCCAACAATTCTGCCAAATCGTGACTCTTCCCCTGCAGAGGCAGAGGTCTGGGTTTGGGATGCAGCTGATGGCCCAACAGGGTAGTAACATCTGGCTCCAAGGTCAGACCCATGACTGTTACTCCACGCCGCCCCAACCCAGCAGGACAGTGCTTAAATACCACCATTCTTCCTAATGACCAGATTTCTGCTGAAATAGCATTTCCTTGGAAAACAACTTTCACGGAGGTGAGAGAGAAACAAGTTCTTCCCAGCTATCTGCTGCTTTGCTGATGAGACGGGTGCACGCTCTTTGTGAAGAACGCTTTCCTCTTACAGGAGTTTTTGCTAATTTCATAAAGAGCCCCACATCTTGAGGGGCCGCCTCCAGCTCAGGGCTTGTAGCTGCTCCTCAGTCTGTCTGCCTACCTGCTCCATGATGACCAGTTCTTTCTTCCTCACATCCATGGTAGCTAAGCATGGGTGGGGGTATTTTGGGAAGTAGTGGGGGTGGGGGGTGCGGGCCGGGCGCCGGGGGGGGGGGAGTGGGTCAGACAAGACAGCTCCGCACATCCCCACATGGCCTGGGTTGACACCTCCTTCCACACTGTGCCTGTCATATCTTCATCATGGGCACTAACATGGAGTCCCTCTCCCACGACAGGACATACCCTGCACCACACCCCAGGGGTACTGCCTGGCCTTCGCCATCTTGTTGCCAATCTTCACCTCTTCGGTACTGCCAACCACTGCAAATGGGAGATGGACCTGCCAGGTGACACAAGAGATGAATGGTTATCACACAGAACCAAGCACAGCTCCATCACTAGAGAGGGGCCTCTTTCCTCAACAGCAAGAGAAAAGGTGGTGACATGAAGGACAGCCAGGGGCGACTATAGTGTGGCAAATGCCCTTCATGAATCATGTTCTCCATGATCTTGTATTCTAGCCAAACACAAGCTAGATTTAAGGAACAACTTGAGCTTATCCTGCCTCTGTCACAGCCACTGTGACAGTCTGTGTCCATAGGGTGCTTAAAACATGGCTTGTGGAGGAGGACGGACGAGATGGGTCAGTGGTTAAGAACATGGGCTACTCTTCCAGGGAGCTGAGGTTCAATTCCCAGCACCCACATGGTGGTATTTCACAACCATTATAACTGCAGTTCCAGAAGATATGATGCCCCCTTCTGGCCTCTGTGGGTACTGCATGCACATGGTACATAGTTACATGCAGACAAAATGTCCATACATGTAAAATAAAAATAAGTAAATCTTTGGTTGGTGGCTCAGAGCATACATGGGCTGGTCCAAGGCCCCTGGCACAAGTGTAGTAGAGAGCTGCCACATCTGTCCTCAGTGGGAGAGGATTCTTCACCTAATCTTACAGAGACTTGATATACCAGGGTAAGGGGTTTGGAGGGGGAAGGGGGTGCTGCCCTCTCAGAGGTAAAATGGGGATGGGGGAGGAATTCTGTGAAGGAGGACTGGGGGCAGCATTGAGAAAATTAATTAATTAATTAATTTTAAAAATAAGTAAATCATATATATATGACTTGTGGGATCAAGATACTCACTTTTAAATTTCATTTACTTTTAACTAATTCACATTTAAATTTTAAAATGAAAGCAATGGAAAATACCTTCCCATTAAATATTAAATTTATTGATAAGTAAGCTTGGCATTTCATTTAACTTTGAGCTCAAATCTTTAGAAAAGAGAACAGTTTTATGATAGTAATGCAAGTTTTAAGAAAAATTATTGTAGGTAACTGTCTACATATTGGAAATTTATTGATAAGTAGGCTTTGCATTTCATTTAGCTTTGAGCTCACATCTTAAGAGAACAGTTTTATGACGGTAATGCAAGTTTTAAGGAAAATTATCGTAGGTAACTGTCTACATATTGGAAAACCTCTAAAGCAAGTTAGGAGAAACAAATACTTGGATCTGCCTCTGAACTATCATCTGATGGCATGTACATGACGATCAGTTGTTTCTGGTGAAATCGGACTTGGGGTCATCAAACGGATACATTGGCTTCCAAAGACTTCTCTGGAAGCTTCACACTGGTGAGATCTAAACGGACTGTGCCGAGCTTGATTTTATTTCTACTGAACACAGCTGGTTTACTTCCTGCATTGCAGTGCTTGGGTGGGACCCGAGGCCTTGCGCATGCCAGGTGAGAAGAGCGGAGGCTCCAGCTGCAGAACTATTCCAGACAGGCTCAGCAGTGCCCAAACTTCAAGTCAGAAATACACTGTAGTCCACAATACTGGCCCGAGTCTTACACCACAGCTGAGCGTGAGCAGAGATGTCGCGGTGTCCAAGACAACGGCCTCTTCCACACTGGGTTATCTGTAGTTATGACTACATCCTGAGTGTGGGGGAGAAAGCTAACTGCTCTCTATCCGCACACAGGAGTAAGGAGATCTTTAGAGCGGCTTTGAGAATTAATGTTTATGGTTGCCTGTCCACTGTTGAGAAGGGAGACAATGTTTTCAAGATAATTAGGCAGCGTCCACAGCTCAGGCTGCAGGCGTGGCATTTTGTGTGATGCACATGATATCTGAATGTCCTAGTCCAGGGGACTCTGGCACAGCAGTTATTATAGGCACCGCTTCTACTGAAAACCAGAGTTCTGCCCCCAAATTCATAGACATACGCCTGCCTCTGCCTCCCAAGTGGCATGGGCCACTCCCTGAAAGTAAGGAGAAAGGGATCTTTCTAGACAACTTGACACTTCAACCAAGAAAACAGTGACAGGATCAAATGGCAAATCTAGATTTAATAATCAAAGTAGGGATCCTATCAATGGGAAGAAATAGGCCAAGAGAGTGGGGGTGTGTAGCAAGACGATGTGTAAAGGAGGGGAAGAAACCAAGGATACCATGCTTCCTCATGTATGCGGCCCTAGATATAAATAAATGCTTGTGTTCATGCATGTGTACATGTGTGCATGCATGTGTGTGACAGGAAAGTAGAAGGCAAGGAAGAAACTACAAAGTTAGCACCACGTTCAACATGACCTGACATCTTGTTCTAACTGGGGCAACAAGAGAATCTAGGTAAGACACAAAAACTCTGGTAGTTTGAATATGCTTGGCCTAGGGAGTGGCACTATTAGGAGGTGTAGCTTTGTTGGAGTAGGTGTGACCTTGTCGGCGGAAGTGTGTCACTTGTGAGGGTGGGCTTTGAGACCCTTCTCCTAGTTGCCTGAAGACAGGCAACTCCTGGCTGCAGTTGGATCAAGAGGTAGAAGGTTCAGCTCTTCCAGCACCATGCCTGCCTGCACACTGCCGTGCTTCCCGCCATGATAATGGACTGAACCTCTGAACCTGTAAGCCAGCCCCAATTAAGTGTTGTCCTTTGTGAGATCATGATCTCTGCAGAGCAATGGAAATCCCCTAAGACAGAAGTTTACATGGAAACCCTAACACAGAGAAGTAGGGTCAGGTAGACTGTGCACTGCTGGACCCACTACCATGCAAGGCTTGGAACCTCGGTGAGCTGATTATGTACAGCGCAGGGGAGGGGCTAGCTATTAGGAGGTCTCTGTAGGTGAAGAGTAACCCTCATGAAAGAAGCTGCAGTTGTTAGTTTTTGCACACACCAGTCAACCGTTGGTATACTCATACTTGTACACACTGTCAACGTTCACACTAAGACTAGAGAAAGGCTTTCCATCCTTCTGAGCCTCGTGGCAGTGTGTGTGTGTGTGTGTGTGTGTGTACAGCAATGCTGCTCCTGTGGATCTGAGGGACTGGCCTTTGGTAGTGCCATCCCCACATCAAACAATTCACATCCCCTCAGGATTTCAATAGCTCCTTGCACACTCACCTGGGGCTTCCTCAGCTCCCCACAGGTAGGGGTACTATGATATGTACTTTTGAAAACCATTATTTGGTCCACTAAAAATTAATTTTAAAACTACTTAAAACTCTCAACATTAGGTAAATAAATTACAGTTGGGAAAAGAAGCAACGGATCCAGACATGGCGATTTATACCATCATCCTAGCACTCAGGACACTGAGGCAGGAGGATCAAGAGATGAAAGCCAGCTTTGACTATACTTTGAGTTTGAGGCCAGTTTGGGCTAGGTGAGACCTGGTCATGAAGTCAATGAATGAGGCAGTAAGCAGTTCATTTATCTCCTGATGGCTACCTCTCTGCTGTGAATAGCATCCCTCAGTTTTTGGCTTACCTTCAGATTCAGAAAAATACAGTGGAAAGGCACAAAGGGGAGGCAGCTCTACGGCAAATGGGAGGTAGGCAGCCATATTTCTGCCAACGCTGACTGAATGCGGGGCTCCCTTCTTTGAGCTGCTTTGAATAAGGTCCTGCATTTGTGTCACATTCCTAGAAGACTCCCCATGAAAATCGGAGTGGGCAGAAAGCTGAAACAATCCTGCCTACTTTTCCCACTTGACAGTTAGAGAAACTGAGGCACAGACTAGTTAAATGACTGGCAGTCCCACTGAGGACCTCCGTGCAGGCTTCTCCAGCCCCTACGAAGTGCCAGCACCACCTTTCTGGGAAACCTCTCTCCCGCCCGCATTCGCCTGAGGACTTACACTCATTGTTGCATTAATCTCGGCCACCGTCTCCTCATCTGTGGGGAACTGATAGATCTGGACTCCGTTGCTAACTAGTTCACTCATGATCTTACTCTTGAACTTGTGCAGTTCGTTCTTGGCGATGGTGTCGGCTTTCGCAATGATCGGGATGATGTTCACCTGCAAAGCAAACACGTCCACGCTCGCATACAACCCTATATGGAGCAAGAGAGCCAGACAGTGAAAATGTGCTCAGAGGAGAGCCACAAGGGGCACTGTAAGGGGCAGGCGATGCTGACAGTCAGACTTCCTCCTGGATAAGAAATTCAGACCCAGAATCCTCTCAGCTTCCCTCCGACTTCCTGGAATCCCACAGACGCTTATCTGTAATTTCCTCTCCTGCAACACCTCCCACTTTACCGAGTAAAAGGAAGTGTTTGTACTACGTGACAAACAGTGACAGCAAGGAAGTCAATCCACTCTTTGAATAAACAGCCACTCCTTTTAGGGGCTTGATTTCTGTGTGCCCATACAGCACTGGTCAAAGCAGGGCTACGCTGCATCACCTTTTCTTTATTGTGACGACCTGGAAATTCCTGGGGGAGATTTAAGTATTGAGCCAAAAATAAATAATTAATTAATTAAAAATAAATTTAAATTACTCATTTTAAAATTTTTCAAACTCAAGCGTCAATTCTTTTGAAAATCAGTTTTTATCAAATGACACTTTCAGCTAATGAAAAAGGTCCCATATTGAAAGCAAGGCTCACCCTGAGCATGGTGGCACACACACAGAATCCCAGGAGAGAGAGTCAGGAGGATGAAGAGTTCAGGCCAAGCTCATCTACACAGTAAGTCTGAGGCTAATATGGGCTCCATGAGACCCTGGCTCAAAAACTGACAGCTCATTTTCAGAGCATCAGTTATAAAAAGAGGGGTGCACTCAGAGTTTGTCCTTAATGGTAAACATCTCAGAATAAGAGCTCAAGACACCTGGGTATGCAAGAACAAAACCCAAAAGTAGGAGAGACGCCGTTGGCTCTTTTCAAGAGAAGGTCTCATTCATGTAGCCGGCCTCAACACACTCTGTGCAGAGGATGGTTGGGGCTCCTGATTCTCCTGTGTCCTCCTGAGTGCTGGGACGACAGATACAACTTTTTTTTTTTTAATTCACAGTTTAAGATGAACTTTCTCCTTCTCTCTCATAGGCACAAAGGCTTTAGTGATGCTCTGGATATCTGGTATCTAGACTACCCTCCCTGCTCGGCTCAGGAGCTCACAGCCTTTCAGAGTTTTCAGTCACATTTGAATTTTTTGCTTTTCTTTTCCATGAGCCAAATCAGACCCCTGACAGATCAGAAGAGAATGCTGACAAACGTGTTTGTGTTCAGCTCATCTCTCGAACCTCCCAAACCTCATGGGCTCAGGCTTCTTCTGGTTAAGGAGAGCATCTCGACCACAGGCAAGGGCTTGATCAGAACCTCACAGGCAGAGCCCTTCCTGCTGTGCTTCATGACAACCTGTGTGCACACTCCAGACGGAGACAGTATCAAACACAAAGACAGCAGTCAGTCATGGTTTCTTGGCCAAACTGATCAGGGTATAGACAGAGACATAAAAACCGTCACACGGGCAGAGACTTACACTCTTCTAAGACCATAATTGCTTAACCCTTCCCTTTACCTTTCTAACTGAATAAATAGCATTGAATGATGCTACCTAGCTCTCTGACAATATCATAATCGAATCGTCTGAAAGTTTAACCTGCTCTGCAGTTGGACTTTTTGGTTTCTTTGTGTTGGTTGCATTTGTTTGGTTTCTAGTTTACTCCTTTTCGTTTCAAATCTCAAACAGAAAACCACAACCCCACCTTTCTTTAGAATGCCTCTAACAAATGGATGCTTAGAGAGCAGAAGGACTTCCTGTTTCCCAGGAGAAGACTGAAAGAGAGCAGCCCTCCCCACATGGGATCTGTCACCACCAGGGTAGAACCCCCAGGAACCGAATAACAGGAGAAGGAAGAATGGCTCCGAGCCTTGCAGCGCCCCCCCCCCCCCCCGTAGTTGCAGGAGTAGCAGTAGGTGGAGTGGTAATCGTAAATAATAACAATAGTAATAATAATAACGCTTTAAGGCCAGTAGAGAATATTTCTGTAAAGCACTTTGTCCATGGATGCTAGAAGCCCAAAGACTCTGGCTAGTCCAGAAAGGAGCCTGGAGGACAGAGCGATTGCTGAACATTCTCTTTATGTTTTACGTCTCTGAAGAGAAAGAGAATTTTAAACTATTTGGTGGGTGGTGTATGCACCCAACAACACACCCTAGGGCTCTGATCATCCAGTAAGACTCTGCACTGAGTGCCAACGGGAGTTAGTCCAGGAGAAAGGACGACGGCTACTTCTGGTTGTTCTTGATGCCCTTTGCTTCATGTATTTTGGAACATGTTGTTTTTGGTTCATTTCAAAACAGAAAACTGAATTAAAGCTCGACATCAGATTTTATCATACTGAACAGCCCCTTCCTTCAAGAGCTGTAAAGACAGACTACAAACGTGACAGGCCCAGGACCAACAATGAAACACAGACTTCACTTTCTGTGGAGACACATGTATTTTAAAAATCTAAAAGGCTGTGTGTCCTCAGGCAGGCAAAACATTAGAACCTGATCCTGCTCTAAACTTCAAATTAAAGCCAGCTTTTGTAGTACACCTCCCGGAGGGCCAGTAACTATCCCATTTATAACTTACTCTCCATTTAAGAACTAGGTGTAGTTTCATGTGTTGGCTTGGTCTCCTCATGCCTAACACCCAGAGGAGGTTTTTAGGCACTTATGTGGCCAAACTCCATGGCTCTGTAATCCAGGACAAAAGAAAGCAATAACAGGAACCCAGCTACACGCTTTACAGAAAATAAGGTATGCCTTAGAGAAATGGGGGCGTGAAGGAGAGTGGGTGGGACCACACCCGGTACCTTGCTGTCCAGCTTCTTCATGGTGACCAGGTCCAGGGACTTCAGTGAATGTCCCGTGGGAGCGATAAAGTAAAGGCAGGCGTGAATCCTCGTGTCGTGGTAGTTGAAGAGAGAGCGCTTAATTTTCAACTCCTCTTGCAAGTAGGCCTCAAACTGGGCATCAATGTATTCCACTATAGGCTTATAGCTGGAATGCAGAAGAACATTTTAAAAACACATTCTCAATTTTGTTTCGGCTCAAAGCTCATGCAGTTGGTACAGTCTTTCACTTTAACATGACGGGTGATACTCTGCCCTAGGAACTAGGATCCAGGACCCAAGGTCTTTGCCTTTCCTGCCCTCACTCCCCTTCTCTGTACGAGCAGCACAGAATCACTTACACTGGCCCTCAGATGTCAGTCCTCGCTGGCTTCCAGCCTCTGCTTACCATGTCCTTTCGCTAGAACCTCTAAGAATCATGGATCTCAGTAAAGTGATTCTGACAGTTTCTAATGCCTGCTTGGCATTGGTGTACGGAATGAAATCAGTTTGTGATTTTCGAACGGAGCATTGCTGTCCCCAGGAGATTTTCCTAGTCCTTGGCCCATCCCCCCAGAGGCTTGCAGGCTGAGCTCTCTGAACTTCCGTAAGTCCATCAAGACACTGAAAATCCTGCACAACTGTGACTTAAGATTCTTTCCAATATAAGTAATTTTGCCCTTTAACCATAAACTGTGTGCCCCCCTTCTTTCTCCTTCTCTTCTCCTCAACAAGTCATAGCCAACTGTTTTGGATAACTATGTATGATTCTATTAACTGGCTATGAAAATCAGCAACAGCTATCAGAAACACTTCCTCCAAGAAGTAAGCAGTATGGTGCTTATAGTGGGAAAAGGTATTAATCTTTCAGTCTCCAAGGGACCCGATCACAGGGGCTTCATTTTAGCAGCAAAGATAAAAATAGATCCATTAGAAACACAAGGCTCTACTTCTCCCCAAACGTACTCTCTGGTGAACAATTCAGTTGTATGAAACTAAGTCTTTGAATACCCAGGTCCCAGAGCCATAAATCAACTGAAAGCCCCAACAGGGCATTACAAGTCCTTACAATAAGGCTGAGAGTAGATGTCCTAAGGAGAGTGACAGAGAACAGAGTCGTGATCAAGACTGAAACTGAATCAGCAAACTGGTTTTGTATTGTTTAGGACGGAGGGGGGGGTTACACACAATGAAGCAGGACAGACATGACTGTGTGTTGGCGTGTCTCTGCGTGTAGGGGTGAGGGGACACACAATGAAACAGGACAGATATGACTGTGTTGGAGTGTTTCTGCGTGTCTGTGAGGCTAGAGGTCAACCTCAGACACTGCCCCTCAAGAGTCATTTCCTTTTTTGTTTTTTTGTGACAGAATCTCCTACTGGTTTGGGACTTGCCAGTAGGCCAGGTGAGCTGGCCACTGAGGCCTGGGGTCCTCCAGCCTCTGCCTCCTCAGAGCTGGGATTACAGGTTTGTAACAACACACTTGGTTCTTTGATGCACAGTTTAATGTTGAATGTGCTATCACCCCAGCCCTTGCTTAGACGTTTTAAGGCAGACTCCTGATGTGTAGCGGGCCTTGAACTTGTAGCATTCCTGCCTCAGCTTCCAAGCTGGCACCACAAGCATGCATTCCTACACGGAGCTACTAAACAACTGCTCATTGGTTTTTCCTTCTATGATGTGGTCATTACCCACATGTGGAATGTGAACAGTCGCTCTACAGGGATTTAAAGAAAAAAGAAGAAGGTGGAGACTGTGTCTCAAAATTAAAATTAGAATTGCAGAATTCTCATGCAATAGATAGCTACTGATAAGATTCTCTTTTGCTTCTCAATCTTGAAATATAGACACAAATTACATAACAATACTCGTGCTTGTTATTTTGAGTTAATTGTATAGGAGAATCATGGATTTACACCAAAGTGCCTGAGACCCAAAGTAAGCATCCTAGTCACTACGTAACCAGCTCCATGGCCTTGGGACAGGAGCTAAAGTCTTCCTGTGCTTCAGTTTCCCCATAATGAAGTCATGTGTGAAAACAATGCGGTGAGTAGATCCTGATACATACTTCTAATCCCAGTACTCGGAGGCAGGGAGAAAGAAGATCAAGTGTACAGGGCCAGCCTCAGCTACACATGTTCAAGACAAGCCTGAGCCAAAAAACTAAATAAATACTTTTTTTTGTTTGTTTTAGTCAGAGAGCTCCGGTGACCAGTGAATGATCTAGAAGATGTAAAGGATGTACTGTAAAGCTATTTCATAACGTCATAAACGCAGAACGCAGCAAACCCAAGGGCTGTGGCCGGAGTTTTTAAAAAGAGGAGGGAGAGATCCAAAACCTCCACACCCTTTTCAGTTCCTACTTGTCTAATGCTGAGCCCCACCATGTAGGGAAGTGAATGGGCCATGGAGATCCACCGATTACGGGGGTAAGCCTCGATTACAGGCGTAAGCCTCGAGGTTTCCTGACACTGGGGTAGGATGGGGGCTTAAGCTCTCCCTGGCAACTTCTTATCCCATTGTGAGGAAAAGCCACTCCCAGTGTGCCCTCGCCTGTTTGTTTCTGAGTCAGGGCTATCTCTGGCTCCTCTAAGGGGCAGCCAAGTTTGTTTCTGCTCTCCACTGATTTCCTCTCTTGCCTCTTGTCCTCAATGAGCGTCCATGCTCAGGGAGGCAGGGTTCTGAGTCCTTTGTTTCCTTTGTACCCCAGGCCTCCTTTACTGCTTCTTCCAAGGTCCTGCCAGACCTGCAGTCTCTCTTCCTCCCCTGTGGTCTCCTCAGAAACCCACATTTATTCTGAGTTTCCTTTAGCATTTCTTCGATAACACAGTACTTTCTACCTCCGGTCCCACCCAGTCTCTACGAACACACTCAACAGTTTGTCAAATATTTCCAATTGATCTTCTGTAGAGCCCCACCTATTCATCCCCGGCCTGTGGGTGCCAGGGGCCCGAGTTCAACGTGACGGTAACCTTCCCCTTCACAGGCAAGCCTAAAATCTCTTCCACCTAGCACCCGTGAAGGCCTCATGCATAATAGACATAACTACCCCTACCAACATCACTAGCAAAATAAATATCCACCAAGAAAAGGAAAGTGGCATGTGGGTTTTTTTTTTTTTAAAGTAAAGACAAGAAGGAAGAGAGAGGACCTAAAAGAAAAAAAAAAAAAAAGGAGAGAGGAAATTACATCACTATAAACAAACAAAAGACATGTTCTCTTGGAAACCTATTTCCTTAGGCTACAGTTTCATTATGGGAAAGAAACAGCTTCCTCTGGAGAACCCAGCAGCGAGCTGGCTCTTTACCCCAGTGCCCAGCGGTCTCTTCATCCCTCGGTATCCTTGAAACAAGTTCCACAGTCCCTCAGCCCCTTCCACTTCTGCAGTCAGCCAGAAAGACAAAGCTCACACCTGACTACGCCTGTTACTTTCAAGGCTAAGAAAGGACCCCTGTTACTTTGTGTACGGCCAATACAAACTTCTCTGGGCTGTAGGAGCTAGGGAGAACAGAGCAGTTTTAACATAACTTCCTTTGGAGGGGCATTCCTTATCACTGCTCATTTTAATCATATACTTCTTGACATTAAAAAATACAGTGAAACCAGATGTGTTCGGCTTAAAGTTACAGGGAAAAGCTGTTTTAAGTGATTTCCTTCTCTGATCATTCTTGCACAGTGGGATGGATTATCTCTAGACGTTATAGTTCATGGCACCTCCCAAAGGTAGAGTAAACTATTCTGGTTCTAGTTAGGCAGCAAGATTTGGCTGGTCCTTGCCCCCTGCCCTCATCCACAAGGGCAGAAAAAGCAAGGAAGCCCTTAAACAAGACTAAAACACAACAGGAAATTCTCCCAGACCCCTCTTCCTGTCTCTTTCCAGCTAGCCAGGTCAGAGGCAGATAACGTCTCAAGAATGCCCAGATGTCCCAAGTCTATAAACACACTGGGACATTCTTGATGTGCCAAATTTATGGCAGAGAAGCTTGCCTCATAGTAGAAAAAGATAATCTTGGCTTTGAGAACAAGCATACCTCCTTCCTATACGGTTACACACTGATGCAAAAATGCATATCCCACTTCCAATATCTTGACAAAAGCACACTGTCCAGCAACTATTTTTAAATCAGTCATTCAAATTTACAGTCAATTGCCAACAATGCCTTTTGAGGCACAGGTCTAGAGCTCTAAAAGCCACTCAAAGAGGTTACGAAAGAGTTGTCAAGAAATTAAAGAGGAAAAAAAATATTTGGTATCTAGGTTAGGTTAATATCACACTTCCTCTCTTCTGAGTCTCCTTGGAAACTATTATTTGACCCAAATGAGTCAGATAATTTCTTGAAGAGGACTCCAGATGCAGATATGAGGATCTGCTCTGTGTTTGCTCAGCTAGTTTGCAGCTAGTTGCTGGCCAGTGAAAACCCACCAGCCTGAGAACTCTGTCAGGAGTGAGGTTAACAAAAAAACCAAGAGCAGGGCTGAGGCAATGACTGGAAGCTAGAAAAGCAATGGGGCTCCAGCAGCAAGGGGTTAGATGGCTCCTGGTTCTCAATCCCCATGGGGAGCCAGGAAGCCAGCCAGGGAATGCATAAACATGACATTCCCTAACTCCCAGAAGAAATCTATCTAGCAAAGAGCTGAGAAACAAGCTTTGCTCTGTGCATAGTCTTTGAAAGCACAGAGAACAGAAGCTCCTGTCAGTCTCCAGCTCCCACAGTGCACCTGTGCCCCTCTTCTGGTCCCTGGGGATTTCTCATTTGTTCCAATTGGCATTAAAAGGACCTTCAGGTGCAACCTCCCCATCATACTGTGGCACTGGAAGTCAGAGGACAGTCAGAGCTTGACTGTCCCCTCCCCAGCTAGGTACAGATGGCCCCACTTTGATTGTATGCAAATAAAGTCTTTTCCACTAAAGGTAACTATTGCCTGTTTATCACAGGACAACAATGGCTACTTAATTAAGAGTGTTTAAAGTATTCCACAGATAAAACAGACCTCAGAATGAATTAGGTACTTCCACCAAGAACTGTGGGACTTATATCTAACAGAAACTGTTAAAATGTATCTAAGCGACACACATTCCTACATAAAAAGGTTTCAAATTCCTCTTAGAGAATACAACTACAGAAACACGCCATTTTGAGGAAAGGAATTTTGAAAATTCTGGCACCGACACTGTTGATAAGCAAAACATCCTACAATTTATCCCCACCTATTGATCACTCTAAAGAACAAGAAAGTCCCATAATGCTGTCATTACCCAAAAAGGTCTCTAGAACCATCTTTGGGCCTGAGATGGCTTTAACCTTCTTAAATCTCTTTGTAAGAGAATAACTCCTGGAAGTCTAGCAGGCCTCCAGACTGAGCACGAAGGCAGCCTACTACCAATGAAGACAAGGGAGGTTTCCGGAGGCTAAGTCCTCCTGTCTGCCTCCCACCCCAGGAAGGAGCATAAACTCCATGATCCAGCCTTGGCCCTGTGGTTTTCTTATAAACTATAAGACTGCCATAGGCATTGTGGTAAGAAATTAGGTTTTTCTCTCCTTGGCTTGGCCAAACTATAAGGAGACCCATTTCCCTTAGACTACAGGGAAACTAGAGCAGGAGCTTATGGACCAGAGGTTCAGATAACAGTTTGAGAACAAATGGACTATTTTCAACAGTCAACACATCCAAAGATTGAAGAACAGGTTCACTGACCTTGAGAGGACCAAGGGTGTGACCCTGAGAGCAGAGTTAAGATACATATTACACTCTGGCAAGCTTTAAGAATTAACAGCTTCCCTCAAGGAGAGGCAAACACCCATTCACGGTGAAGACCCACATTTATGTGGCTTTATAAATGGGCTATGTGTGTTACAAAATAAAAACTAACTCTAGTATTTTATAAGATAGCTTCCAGCTCATGTGATGAATTTGAGCCAGATTTTATAATTATACTAGAATCCACTGGTATCGGGCAACTTCAATCTGTCTTCAAAAATCACTGTGCCACAGTGCTTTTAAGATACATTACTTTTTAATTAAAAGTTATTTTTTTCATACACACACAGGATTTTATAGCATAAATTATCTAATTAAGTAACCCTGTCTCTGTGGAGGAAACTCTAATCCATCCATCCTCATTAGGCTCAACCAACCTTCCTAGTGGCTACTCACACACATTTGGTAATTCTGCACCCAAAGTCTTCAAGGCCTTTGAATTTACCTGGGATACAGCCTTCTTGAGATAGAGCTTCCTACCTCCTAACCCATTTCTATAGCTACAGAAATGTTAAGACATACCTGTCATCTTTATTAATCTGGTCTCCAAACCCCACTGTGTCAACGATCGTTAGCTTCAGCCGCACATTGCTTTCCTGAAGTTCGTAACTTCTGGCTTTTAACCGGACGCCTGGCTCATTGTGAGTGGCTGGGTCACTTTCAAATTTGGTGTTGAATAAAGTGTCCATCAATGTGGATTTGCCAATACCTGTCTCACCTATAAAACCACAAAAGAAAAATCAAGACCAAGTTAAAAGGCGAGGAGGGCAACAGGATTCGAAAGGCAACGTGACCAACCGGAAATCCGGTCAACGTGACTGGAAATTCCACTGTACATCCCATAGTTCTCTGGATGACCTAGGGAACACTTCCTTAGAACGGCCTCTAAACTCAGAAATTATGCACTAGAAGGGGGCCTGAACTTACAGATAGGGATATTTTCTAATAGCCAGGCCTGACGATGCAAGCCTGCTCTCCCCACAACTCAGGAGGCCATGGTAGGAGGGTTCCATGTTGAACAACTTAGTGAGACTGCCTCAAAATATAAACTAAAAAGAAATAACCAAAGATACAGCTCATTGGCAGAACACATGCCTGACACACACAGGCCCTGGGTTTGATTCCAATTATGGGGGGGGGGGGGGGAGGCATTTTTAACCCTTAGATAGCCAGTACCTGAGTCTGCCTATGGCCTCTTTGTATACCACAAAGATTAAAAACTATCTCTCTTTCTCCTAAATTATTCTGTAAAGTGTAATACCCTCTGTATTGTCTCCATCCCTCCCTCCTTCCCTCCCTCCATCCCTCTCCCTCTCCTTCTTTTCTGCAGAGATGAAGTCAAGATAACAAACACTTATTAGCTTTTTGATTTCACAGCTCACATTTTCAGTATTTTAAACATGACTTGAAGCGATGACTTTATCGATTCACAGTGCTATTTCAAGTCAAGATATGGGCTCCTCATATGCACAAAGCCGAGGGAAGGACACCAAAACAAGGACATCAATCAAACAGGGAGGCTCAAACATGAAGCCAGGATGCACTGAGCATTCTAAGCCTTCAGCTTAGGACCAAGCATAAGTCTCTCACGACCCTGGTTCATCTGCTAGGTTTTGGAGTAGAGAACCGAGCCTTGCCTCTGGCAGTGTGCTTGAGTGCAGACATGATTACCAAGAGGGAAAACTCAAGAAGCACTGGCCATAAAATGCTCCTTTTTGATGTAATCAGCAAAATGTCCTCCTAGACTCAGTTAAATGTGTCAACACATATCAGCCCCTTCAGCAAATCCTGGCCCCGACCTGAGTGTTCTTGGTCACCCTGAAGGAAAGAGGCAATCACTTTTCAGACAGTGAAAGCCCCAGGGGGAAGGAGGGATTCTAGAACCTGCAGTCTTACCGAAATTTTCTCATTAAATGGACAAAAAGGGGTGATTAGAACTTTTTATTATTGTAATCTTTGCTTCTCAACACGTCAAACTAAGGGTACAGGGAACTTTCTGGGTTAGAGCTCATTCTGATGAACAATCTAATGTGGCTGGCCACTCAGGCATTGACTCATTTCTTCAATAAAACATTGTTCAAGTACATTTTTCTTACCCTTTAACCTTTCCCACTGTGTCTCTGATATAAAGAAGACCATAGTTTCCTCACCCTCAGCCCTCAATCAGCCAGTATCTTTCCTGTGCCTACTATGAACGATGCTCTGTGCCAAGTTCAGAGAATACAACAGTGAACTAGGTTGATATGGTGTTTTCTCATATCGTACAATGTGGTCTAGAACAGAACCGAATACCAATCGGACTCTGGTTGAAGGGGGCACTCGAGGTGCCTGCCCTTCTTCTGGTGCTTGGCCATTCTTCTTATGAGCAAGACCACACCTTCATCCCTGTGACCTTGGGAGTCTCCACAGAAAACTGACCCAAAGGCAACCACAGTGGCCTGACTGTGGTAATGCTACACAGGAGAGCCGTCCACGTAAAACTTATCTGACTAAGAGACCATCGGCACACTGTCATGGCCTAAGAAGTAACAGTGTACAGAGAGAAGTAAGTGGGCTGAAATGATGACGGAGGAAAGGTTGTGAAAGGTTGTGAGCACAAGGAAGCTGTGGAGCCCGAGCATTAGCTGGGAATAGGAGAGAGGAGAACAGATCGGTATGGAGGGCACGGTACTGGAAACTCAGTTATGAAGGAAGCATTTGAGTATGGGGATTTGGGTGTGGGATTTCAGGGTGAATGCAAACCTGAATACTTCAGGTAATACTGAACCTCAGATATTACTTGAGTATTATTCCAGATGGCTCTGCATCTGGCTGGAGAGAATTTGAGACTGAGTTTGAGCTTTCTTACTTCCCTGAATGTATGTGCAAACATCTCTCTCTCTCTCTCCCTCTCTCTCCACCCCCCTCTTTCACACACACACACACACACACACACAGCCAGTATAAAAAAATAATATAAGCCAGTCTGCTTCTTAAAGAGTGGCCCTTCCCAAGCCGACAGCCATGATTCATATTCACACAGATTAGCTATGAGCAAAACAGAGTTCCTGTGTGATGGACACAGGTAAGAAAGAGGAGTGCTCCCCTGGAAGACTGGACTCAGGCAGGCAGGCAGGCAGCTGTCCAGTGACTGTAAGCACGTGCTGCCAGGAGGCCACTTGGTTCTCGGAAAACTGTACTTGCAGGACATTGGCCAAGAGGCAAGCAGTGCCCCCCCACCCCCAGAAGTTTCCACTGTGCCAAAGGCTGTCAGGAGAGTGACCTACTTCTCTCTCATCTTTCCCCAAGGACAGCAATAAAACCTGCATTTACAAGGCAAGGATTCTAAGCTACCTGAGACTGAAATCGCCATTTCCTTTTACTGGCTGTTAATTACTTCAACGCCTGTGAATTGGGAGCACCATTCATCATCTTTTTTAAAAGACATGGCGTGCTTAATGATCATTTATATTAGGTAGAAACTGTGAACAATTAGCATTCTGGACCCTACTTATAGTACAGAGGTAATCAACTAGTTGAAAAAAAAAACCCAAGTTCAAGTTCTTCTAAATTTCCATGTGTTTTGCTTTCCGGGTCTGTGCTTTCGAGAGCTGTAATTAGACACGGCTACACAGCTGGCGGCCGGTGTGATTCACCAAAAGCGGTCAGTGGGAAACTGGGAAGCTGGGAGGAAAGGGGCCAAGAACTAAGGGGGTTTTGTCTTCTTTGCAGGTCTGGAGCCCAGTTTAGGCTACACAAGTGTTCAATCACTCGCTGCATGCCAACTCCTTCGTGCGTTGTTCTTTAGCTGTCTTCTGTTTATTTTTGAGACAGGGTCTCACTGTGCAGCCTTGGCTGTCCTCAAACTCACAGACATCTGCCAGCCTGTGCCTCCTGGAGAACTGGGACCCAAGTCATGTGCTCCATACCCAGCTATCCCTTTTGTTTATTTGCTTGCTTGCTTTGTAGCCTAGGCTGGTCTTCAACGCATAATGTAGCTCAGGTAAGCCTCAAACCTGAGATCTTATGCCTCTGCCTGCCACGTGTAAGGCTGAGAGGCCCACAGCACCATGCCTAGCATAGAGGAGATTTTCAGTGCACTGGCTTTTGAATCTTCTGTCTAAACCAGTGGTTCTCAACCTTCCTAATGCTGTGATCCTTTAATGCAGTTCCTCATGTGGTAGTGAGTCCAACCAGAAAATTATTTTTGCTGCTACTTTATAACTGTAATTTTGCTATTATGAATTATGAATTGTAATGTAATATATGCTATGCAACCCACAAAGGGGTTGCGGCCCACAAGTTGAGAACCACTGGTAAATTTTGACTGCAGGGTCTTGTCTAGACCTTGAAGTTCCTCTCAAGCAAAAACATGTCTTTTCCCCACTCCTTTGTTTTTTTTAAAAAAAAATTTATTTTTATTTATTTGATGTGTCTGAGTTTCGCTTGCATACTGATTAACTAAAAACCTATTATGTACAGGTCCCAGCTCCCACCAAATACATAATGGCATCTTCAGGAAATCAGTGACTGACACCAACTCTGCAGCATTTCAAAGCTCACACCAAAGCACCAGGCACAGGGGAGGCACTTGTTAATGCTAAAAAAAGTCAAATGGCCATGTAGCTGATCATATAACTGAGATTTGCCACTTCAGTGGGCTGTTCCTTGTGTTGATGGTCTGTTATCAGTTCATCTCCCTGAGCTCATAGCTGCGACACTATCTGAAGCCATTGGTGGAGTGCTCTCTGCAGCTCCGGTGTCTCTGCCTCTCGCTAGTGATGGGGAGTATTCCTACTCTTCTGGAGTATTACTCTCCAGTTTAATTCAGCCCCCAGCCAGAGCTTAAGAAAAATCAGATGGAAGCCTGAGTTGGACCATTCACTCTAAGTCCCAAACCTGGCTACATAGGTATGCAGCTGCGCACAGGGGTCTGCTGGCCTCCCATAAAGAGCAGAGAGTTTATTCTTGGACGGTGCTGGTGATGAGACAGCTGAAAGCTATGTTATTACTCCTCACACACTGGTCTTTGATGAAACATACTTTGGCATCATGGCGCCAGCCTGCAAGAGGATTTAAAAGACTATGTGAGACGCTGTGCTGTCGCCTCTGCTGACTGTATTCAGGGATGCTCCCAAACTCTGACCACAACATCCATCAGTGCCTCTTTTCTGAAATAACCATACGAAATTTTCTTGGGTGACTTTCGTCTGAGGCAATTATTTCTGTTTCTTACTTAATAAAAGTGTCACACATTAAACTTTTAACTTGTGTTTGGCATATAATATGATAACTGTGCAGACAAGTCTGGCAACAGACCTACAGTTCTGATTCTAACCTGGGCTTCCCCTTGGTTCTGAGGTCAACTTGACTTTCACTGATTTTCACCTTTTCCCAGCCTTTCCTGGGAAATGGTAGAACGGAGATGTGTAAGATCTGATAACATGTATGAGGAACACATGAAAAAGCTCATGGTCAGACAAGAAGCCAGAGGCTGGAGGATGGCCAGAATAAAGCTCCACCACTGCCCTCTCAGATCAGAATCAGAGACCCAGAAGACTTTAATCCTTTCTGAAGACAAAACCTAAGCTCCTCTCACAGATACCCCATTCTTAAAGGTCCCTCAATGACTCAGGACTGGCACCAAGGCTAGGTCCCCAGCACATGAACTCTTGGGGGACAGACTCAAACCACAGACAAATTGTAGAGATTCCAAAGGAAATCTGCAGAATTACATACCCTATCTTGGAAATATATCCAGAATTTATTATGGAGCAAAAAGTATTAAAGCCCAGAAACAGCAGGGTCCTTTGTGTAAATCAAACCCGCAGACACCTATGTGCCTTCGAGGGGTCCTCATCTGTGCAGTGTGTGGGTCCCCCACCACCATGAAAGCGCTTCTGATAAAGCCTTCTTTCCTATAGGGAAGCACTTGTGTTTTGAGTACACTGACTTCCGCTTTCAGGGAGGGATGGGAACCATAGTCAGAAAAATCTGTGCTATTCAGTGATCTGTGTCAGAGAATGGCTTGTTCTTCCCCTGCTAGGAACTGCTGGAGGCCAGATGCTGGAAGAAAATGTCCAAACACAAATAAGCCAGCAGAGGCAAGCCACAACAAGAAGTGGACAGTGTTCTGAACATATGCTTCCATCCCAGGAAGCAGGTGTGTGTGTGTGTGTGTGTGTGTGTGTGTATACAATGTATGTGTACACATACATCTGTGTGTATATGAGAGCACCCAGGTATAAAAGCCTTGGTCTTTCCACTCTATTTGAGATGGGGTCTCTTGTTTTCTGACTGTGTATGCCAGACTAGCTGGCCCCCAAGGTCCTGCCTCCAGCTCCATCTCAGGGAGGTACACTGGGGTTACAGAAGCCTACATGATGCACCCAGTGTTTATAGAGATCCTTGAGATTTGAACTCAGGTCCTCACACTTGTATAACAAGTGTGCTTGCTCACTGAGCCATGTCTCCAGCCCTGGAGCGTGAACTGGTATTTTTTTTGTATGTGTGTCTGAGCAAGTGTTAGTTACAGATGGCTGTGAGCTGCTATGTGGGTGCTGGGAATTAAACCCAGGTCCTTTGGAAGGATAGCCACTGCTCTTAACGGCTGAGCCATCTCTCCCAGCCCCAGCCAGTTGTTCTTAATTGTATTATTTAATATGTTAATATTTTCCGAGCCTATACTTGGGGGAAGGCAATCCTAGCTACATTCAAATTGGATTTCTCCATTCTCTGTGAAAAAGAGCTTCCCGTTGTAAGAATAATCAAAGAAAGGCTTTGGTTGAATTGAAGATGAGGAAAAGGGTCAGAAGCTAGGGGTGCAGACATCCTCTGCAATTACAAAAAGGAAGGGGTTCATTCTCCCTTAGGTTCCTGTAAGTGATGCTACCCACAGACCCACGCAGGGCTCTGTCTACACAACTGGAAGGTAATACACTGGCTGTGCCACAAGCCACCAGTCTTAATTTCTTAATAGACAAAGAGGTGGAAAGCATTCTAGAAGCATCCCGGGGTTATCTGTGAGTAACACATTCAGGTACGAGGTTTGTAACTTTTCAATAATAAGCACGTGTTATGTTAACTACTTTGAAATGCTGCACACAAACTGCCCATGTATGCATCAAGGTACTACTACTTATGCAGGAGAGGGAGCGTGGCAGATGCTTCTATATCTAACAGGAGACCATTAATATAAGAAGATCCAAGCTACATCAAAGCTGTGCTACTTAGCATGAGAGATCAGTCACCAAGCCATGCATGCATGTACCCAGTTAGAGCCATTAGCAAGCCCTGTCCCACGGGATAGTTCTCCACTAGGGTGCAGGAGACAAAGCACAGCTCTAATTCATGAAGCCGATTTTGGAAAAGGAGCCAGGGAGGCTTGGAAGAGAAGTCAGAATAGTAACTGACCCAGAGTTATAATTTAGTACACTTTTCAATTCAAAATCAGCAAATTGCTACACTTTGCAATGAGCAAGTACCAAAGTAGAACTCTGTAGAACCAGCTGTACCTCAGGAGGGCCCTGTTCCATATCAGCAGGCTTGTACACAGGGAGACCAGGAGACTCAAGGTGGGCAACTTTGGCCAGGTCTTTCCTGCTATTCTCCTTTCCAAGGCTTAAAACATAGTGCCAGAGAACAAGCTGGCCCAGACTGCTAGTGGACTGTCACATTCTACACTATTGACTTCCACACGTCCTATACACCAGCTACATGCGACAGGCTCCTGAAGAAGAAAGACATCTGCTCCCTACCCCATCCTCCTCCAAGTGAGCCGATGTGCTTCGCATGCTGAGGTTAAACCTTGCGATTTTATTGTTTCACTTAGACGAGAGAAATCAGTCTAACGCACTCTGTTGGGTTTAGACTGGGAGTGAGGGGCTGGGGGATAGGAAAGGATAGGGGACATGGGGAGGTGTCACACAGTGAAATGCTTCAGTGTGTCTCAAAGTTGCCTTGAAGAATACACCAAGAGCCAGTGGCAACAAAACACCACTGCAGACCAGCTCACTGCTCTGCAATGCAACAGGGGTTTCAGGAATACTTTTTAGTCAAGATAACAGATTTATTATTTTGATTTTGTTGCTTGTCATCCCTTTTCTACCTTTCCCGTCTTAATTTAAGAAGAATATATCTAGAGAGAAGGAAGGAAGCCCCCCAGGCCAGAGGTGACCTGGGTGACAGCGGGTCACTGGGAGGAGGGCCTCATGACTAAGACACACAGGGAGGGTGCAAATCAGATCTCTTTAAATTTTATCTTTTGTCTACAAAGAATAAAACAAAGTTAAATTTACATCCCAATTTAAGAACAGCAGGTCAGATAGAACCCTAGATTTTGTTTCTGTCCTGAGAGCAAAGGCTTCCTGAAGTGCCAAAAGTCATTTAACTCTTACTGATTTGATAAGTCTTTAGAAGGTTTCTGGGGAGGTTACATTTACAGTAAGAGACCAGATACTCTAGGACCACACTGCTTAAAACAATGGTTCTCAACCTTACTAAGGCTACGACCTTCAACACAGTTCCTCAAGATGTGGTGACACCCCACACACACCAAAAAACTATTTTTGTTGCTACTTTGAAATTGTACTGTTATGAGTCATAATAAGTATCTGATATTTCTAATGATCTTAGGTGGCCACTGTAAAAGGGTCAGATGCCCCCCTCAAGGGGTCACGACTCACAGGTTGAGAACCATGGGCTTAAAAGCTTTTGGATGCTTTTCAGTATATACCTGAGTTCCTTCAATTTCCTATAGTCTAGGTAGGGTCCAACTCCTCCTCTCCATGAAACATGAAGATAAATGTTTTCATGACAATATAAGACTGTCCAGTTGCATGTGTGACCACATAACAGTAATGAAGAGAATTTGAGTAGTACCACAAAACTACAAAGCGTTTATTAAATAACTATAACTCGACCCTTCACAGTGGTGCCTCCCAGGGAGAGCCATGGTTAATTAGCTTGCTCCACCGGAGGCAAAGGTAATAAACTGACATCCTCCTTTCCCAGAGTCGTCATTGTTCCCTTCTGTGCAACAGGTGCCAGTACCACTTACCCACGCACAGGATGTTGAAACAGAATCCTTGAGAAGTGGATTTGTTGACCAGCTGGTCCGGCAGACTGTCAAATCCAACATGGCCAGAAAGTGACAAGTTCCGCAGCTCTTCATTCTGGAATTTAAGAGAAGAAATACTGGAGGGAGCGCAAACTGCATCACTCGCCATTATTTCCGAGGTCCTTGTGACATTCAGAGATGTCCTGGAGTCCAAGCCTTCCCTGGCTTCTTCACTACCAACCTCGGAACCTCCTCCTCCTCCAGCCTCCCTCCAAAAGCAAACTACCTCCCCAGGGACCTCATTCTTTGCATTAAGTGTACAGTTCCAGGAAATAGGAGCTTAGAAGTAACTAGTTCAAATAAGCACTAGGTGACACTTAAAAAAAAAAAAACTAAAAATGTAATAGCTTCCATCATTCAGGAAAAACATTCCATTTATTTTGTACACAGGCAAACATTGTTCCAGAAACACAACCCGGGCTCTGAGGTGCTCACAGTGGAGGATACAGAAGGCTACAATTACAGAACATTGTAATAACCAGCATAAGGCAATGTATTTAAAACTTCTCAATACACGAAGGAGGTCCATCTCTTCATTTCCTGTCCAGGCTTAGTGGCACTTCTTCACGAAAGCTCTGCACACACAGGACTTCCTCCGGGTGGGCTGGCGGAGACTAGGGGGGCGGGGGGGTTAGGGGAACACAGTCAGGCATTGGAGTTGAGAGACTCATCTGTCTTAGATGACAGTGCTGACCATTAACACAACTTTGAGCATATCTCATGAGCACTAGAGATCAACTGTGAAGCTCTTCCTTCCTGAGAGACAGAAGTCACCTGTGTCAATCAATGACAGTATCTAGTTATGCTTTTCCAAGTCAGGAAGTCAAGCATGGAAAGCCTTCTGGGAGACAAGATTGCTGGTGCTCTGGCTCTGGCTGTCACCAGCAGGCTTGATATTCTAATACTAAATGTGGACGAAGAAACAAACCTCATTGTCTCTGCGTGCGTGCATGAGTCCATGTGCATATTCGTATGCATGCATGTGTGGGTGTGTGTTAGGTTTATTTGGGGATGTACGTTCATGCGTATGCGAATGTGTGTGGAGGCCTGGGCTCTGCTTTGATTGGCTTCCTCCATCACTCCCTACATTATTTTTTGAGACAGGGTTTCTCATTAAACCTAGAGCTTAAATAGGCTGGGCTGTCTGACAAATGAACTTCAGGGATCCAGCTGTCTCGTCTCCAGCACTACTGTTAACCAGCCCACTTAACCACAGCTGGAATTTTTACGTCAGTGCTGAGATTCTGAACTCAGGCCCTCATGTTTGTGCATCAGACACTTTACCAAATAAGCTACTCCCCAGCCTCACAGTTCTGTTTTTTAAGGAAAAAAAAAAGGGGGGTGTACAATAACTTAGTTGATGATTTTAAAAGATTTTTTTAAATTCTCCTATTTTTGTGTTGTGCGGTTATAAGCATGACTTAATAACCCAAGCTGGCTCCATTCTCAAATTCCTATGGTTACTACATGGGCACAGACATGTGACTCCACAAACACTAGGACTGACAGGTTTTAATGGGTTTGTGAACACTAGACTACATTCCAGCTCTAAAATTCTGATTTTATGAAATAAAGCAAAGACTCAACCCTTTGCCTATGTGGCAGCAGCTGCAGGTTTGAAGTCAATGGGACAGAGAACAGATGTCCCTTCTATGAATAGTTTCCTTGAAACCTGCCAACAGTAAATACAAGACTGGAGAGCAAGCACTTAGCCTTGAGAGGAACAACACGGGCCACAGCTTCCCGCACACACAGGCCACACACACAGGCACAGTGGGCAACGGTCCTGGAGGATGAGGGAGCCTTCCAATAGTGCTGGACTTCCAGCCCCAGACCCATGCCTGCCCCTTCCTTTTAGATACCTCAAAAGTTCAGACCATAGGTATTTTTAGGGTGTTTACCACATCCGCCGAGTCGTGGGTGAGGAGCATGTGAAGCCAGCCCTGGATTATATTTAGAAATGTTTCCATAGCAGCTGTGTGGTGGCTATTGGGTACTAGGCTTGGAGAAGCCGGCACACCAGCCTTCACTTCTGTTCTGTCACGCGTGTGAATGGTCATGCAGCAGAGAAAAGGCTGGGAAAGACCCAAGCCTATGCTCCGCCTATGGCCAATCACAATTTTAACTTTCAGGGGAAAGGCAGGGATTCATGCTCTGAACCCTGGCTTGCTGGATTTCCAAATACCCAACATCACGGGTAAACCAATCCCAGGAAGGCATCGGTTAGTAATTATAGCTCTCATCCCAGAGCCCAAAGCTCGGCATCTCATATTCTCACTGTTACCCAAAACATGAGAAGCCACCCACACACTCACCAGGTATTTTTATACCCATTGAAAACCACACACAAAATGTCAGACCATCAAACATTTTGGTCTTCAAATTTTTGAAATTTAATGCTGTGTTCTTTATTCTTAGACTGTCTGATGAAATATCTAAGATTTTTAAATACACCTTTGAATTTTATAAATTAAGCCAAATTCTTCCCAGTGTTTAAAAAGGAGCGGCAGCTATCACTGTGTGGTGGGCAAAGAGGAAACAGGAAGTTCTTCACCCAGCTTAAGAACGGGAAACAGTGGAGGGACTAAAGGAGCAGCTGAGAGGCTTACCTGGTGACTCCTACAACTGAAATGAAGTCCTCCCCCCCCACCCCTCGTGACATTCACCTCAATTCTTAAGTCTTACCAACACTACCCACTTTCTCTCTCACAGCCCCAACCCCACCTCCACCCCACCTTCTAGGCCTTGACTGTACCGATTTCTTCTCTACATTGATGCTAGAGGGGTCTCAGTGCCTAGAGTTTCCCTCCAAACTCAATGTTATCTCGAGGCTGTTCAAATCATCATTCTTCCTGGATCTTCTACTTGTCACCTGGGAACACTTGACACCTCAATGAGTCACCTTCCGAGCCTGAGACAGACCTAGGTATCATCCTGCTAGACAACGGTGATTCCACTTCCTGCCGTCTGCAAGGGTCTTGTATCCAATGGCTACACCTTACGGTCTCTGCTGAAACATTACTACCTAATGTATCTTTATCATGAAATCTTGGGGAATGCTGAATAAACATCCCCCTTTCCAATAAAAAGAAACCTCTGAGATTCTCTGATCATCACAACTAATGCATCATAGTGGCTAATGTTCTGGAAGTGCCCCAAACAGAAGCAAACTGGTGCTATTTTCTTAATGATTGCATCAAGTAGCTGTGATCACCCAAGTTCAACTTATTAATGAGGAAACGGAGGCACAGAAATTAGTCATTTACCTAAGGCTGAGGGGCAGAAATTTGAAGGAAGACAAGGAGTCAGCATCTAGAGCCAAAGACTATGTGCTTAGCCTGCACTAGTGCAGAATGAGCTATGATGTTGCCAGGTAGCCCTGGACGCTGTAATGCTTCAGCTATTATAGACAACCAATATGCAGAGTCAAAAAAAAAAAAAGCCTCTAAAACACTAGGTATTTGGCAATAGTAAAGAGCGGAAATTGAGACTCAGACTGGGCAGTGAGCTCCCTGTATACTTTCACTGCCCTGGCAATGCCAATACATTTTGATTTCTGCAGCCATGGCACTTGAAGCCTGTAATAGAAGGCTTAGTTTTAACCATTTTGGAAACAAAAGTAGCAACATGAAGCCACTAAGTAAGTGACCAGAAGCCTTCATTGGTGTAATGCTCCCCTTGCTAATCTGTCTGCTGAAGGCTTCTTACTGAACCAATCCCACAGCCCACTGCATCCTGAATGGAGCTATGACTGAGCCTGATTGTACAGGACAGCCAGTTTTAATCTGACTGTTTCATTTTTCTCTTTTCAGAACATGTCTTCTTGGGGATAATTACTTGTTCCCCTAAAAAGCCTACTAACGTCACTAAAGTAGAAGTGTGTTGTTTGTTATTCATTGTTAAACACTCTTTCGAACCCTAACAAGTTTTACAATGTAGTAGTAAAGGCAGGTCATACTAAATATAACACCACCGAGGATAAAAGTGATAAATACCAACTTAACAGAGAGACATGGGAAAGAGGGAAGAAGCTTTTGGCTATTGAAATTTGGGGCACCACTGGAGCTCCTCTGGATATATTAGTGAAACAAGGGTGAAGCTTGCAGGGATATTTCTAGGTGAAAGCTACCTGTGTCCAAAAGGTCTCTTGGCAATGAATGTACACCCTGAAGTTCATAATCTGAAAGTTTTTAAAAGATGCCCAGCTGACTTCACTACTGAGACAATCATAAGACAGCTTATATAAGAATGTGTGTCAACAGCCAGTTCTAAACACCTCTCTAAACTGTGTTCTGCAGGTCAACGTCATACTTAAGCAAAGTAGGATGACAGAAAGTCCAGAGCAGACAGACCAGGGTTTGAATCCCCGATTTGTTTCCTACTTGCTTTCTGCCTTTGTTCCCTCACCAATAAAAATTCAGAGCTTGGCAGGGCTGCAGTTAATGGTCCTCGACAAACTTGAGGTTCCTTTCCCCCAGTGAGGAGGGAGGAAGGGACAGCTCCAATTGTAAAATCTGAAATGAATTAGTTCCGTGACTGCTGCGAGACATGGCAGGGGAAACTGATCCGCAACGCTCTTGCACAATACAATAAATTAAAACCTTCCCTGAAAAGGGCAGAGTGAACAGACAGAAGGCAGGGGCAAAGCTGAGGGCTCCGGTACAGAGAACAGTCCACCTTCAGAGGTGGAGGAACACGGAGAATGCAGAATCAGCATCAGCATCAGCAGGCTCCAAGGCTGGAAACCATTGCACTCCCCTCCCTCATTCTGGCTTCTATTTTAATCCATGCCAGACTCTCAAAATTAACAAGCTTGATGCACCCAGATGGACTCTATTCTCCACAGTCCAAGCGATGCCCACTTATTTTACTTGAAAAACCAAACTGTTCAGCATCAGATGCGGTTAGTAAAGTAGCCTACACCCTCTGATCCTTATCAGGAGGTAGAAGCGAGAGAGTGTGTTGCCATGGTAATGTTTTGTTATCATTACAACAAATTAGAATTATGAAAGCAAGATAATTTTTACCTTTAAGGTCAAGAAAGGTTTCCTCGTC